ATAACTTATATATATATATATATATATATACAGGGTGTCCACAAAGTTGGGGTTTTCCTTTTCAGAAACAACTACCCTTGAAATAACAAAGGTAATGTGTAGTGAAACGAGGGCGTCCAAGTAAAAAAAATAAAGGAAAAAGTACTCACTCTCCAGTTGACGAGAAGGGCTAAGTACGTCTCTGCCCGAAATCATACCGCTCCAACAGAAAATGAAATCAGCTGATGCGCTACCGAGCAGACGCAGAAACCACATTGATTGTCTTACACTTAATGGCACATCTTCTAACAAGGAAGGCAAAATGTTGCGTAAAAAGTGTCTAGGTATTGCATCCGGTCCAATCGATTTGGGAGAATAAATGGTCCAATGAGCATACCGTTCACCATGCCAGCCCAAACATTCACCGAAAATGTTTGTTGAAAATGTGCCCGACGGACAGCGTGCGGATTTTCTACTGACCAAACATGAGTGTTGCGAAAGTTATTCACCCCATTACGCGTGAACGTAGATTCATCTGTCACCAATATGCACTTCAAAAAGTCCGGATTATTGTCATGTTGATGCAACAACCACTCACAAAACCGCACTCTTGCTAGAAAATCGTCAGGTTGAAGGGCTTGTACACGTTGGACGTGAAACGGATACAGCCCCTCTTCACGCAGCGTTTGCCACACTTTAGTTTTTGATACTTGCACTTCTCTAGCCACGTCTCTAGTGCTTGTTGTTTTTTGAAACGCAATCGATTATACGGGTTCGTTTACCTCTACACGCGTGACCGTTACAAATATAAAACCAACCGGACGGAGACATTGGGCTTATTGATAACCACGGATACCATCGTTAGGTGTTAACACTATAAATCAATACACCCGAACATGTTAAAAAATTAACGAGAAGCAATTTTGGGGACAAAAACCGGAGCGTCGTTTCTAACCCCCTACATCCGCTTCACGTGGAGAAGGTGGACGGAACGGAAAGATAATGCGTCGACAGATGACATGTGATTGACACGACGGAATGTGGAACTGTGAACATTATTGTCAAAGTTGGGTATGATGTATACGAGGGACGCTCGGTAAAACCTCATCCTAATTACCAAAATGCTGAATTAAATTTGTGCGGAAAAAAAGTGTAGTTCATATGACTGTACGAATGTAAGATAGTGATACACGCTTGAAAAGATGGGTTGTGTGAATTTATATTATTTTTTTTATATTGCGTGAGTGAAATGTTTCAATTAACAGGATAAACAATTGGAAATGTATTTTAATTTTGGGACGACGTTAGATCGACTGGGATATGTAGCCGTTCTAACTTTTCGCAATTCAACATTTAGGGATAAATGACACTAAGCTGCTTAACATCAGCCTTTTTATTCATACAATGGTCTGTCATGAAAATGTGGGGCATTTCTAAAAATAGACGTTTTGAGAGTCGTTTTTCTTTGTCAAGAACCTCAATACTGCCATAATTCATAGAGTGACCTGTGGTGTTCATATGTGATGCTAAAGCACGTCTCTCTGGATGTAATCTGGCGTCACTTTTGTGTGAACTTACAGTGATCTCGATGTTTGGTAATAATACATTTTAATATATTTTCATACAACCCATCTTTTCAAGCGTGTATCACCATCTTATGTGGATAACACTTTTTCCAGAACAAATTTAATCCAGCATTTTGGGAATTAGGATGAGTTTTTACCGAGCATCCCTCGTATACACTATACCTGAATTATGGCAATGATGTTTACATTTTCACATTCCTTCGCGACAATCACCTGTCATTTGTCGATGCATCACTCTTTCGGTTCGCTCATTTTCGCCACGTGAAACAGATGTAGGAGGTTAGAAGGGACTTTGCCCTTTTTTTCCCTCAAAATTGCTTTTCAATAATTTTTAATGTGTTCGGGTGTATTGATATAGTGTTAACACCTAACGATAGTTTCCGTCGTTATCAATAAACCCAATGTATCCGTCCTTTTGGTTTTATATTTGTATCAAGTGCTCTCATCCACGCTTTGGTTTGGAAACACCATTTGGCTACAGCCTCAGTGACGAGTAAGTTGTCTGGTAATTTAAATCCTTCCCATATTGGTTGCTAGCATCATATTTGTGTTTTTAGCTCCTGAAGATGGCTCCATAGAGAATGCCGAAAGCTCGAGATTACCGTTAAAAGTGTTTACTAAAGTCTAAAAAAATTTTACCAATTTCCCAATTAACAATTGATTGTATTTTTTGCCCAACTGGTCATTGGCAATGGCAATGACTACTGCATATATGTGTATATATATATATATATATATAAATGGTAATTTAGGGATATCGACAAATTAAGCAACACATAAATCCTAACCTCTCGACCACACCAATAATTCTAGGTTTGCTCAAGATATGAATCTGTGAGGTTTTTAAGAAATTTTATTCAATCAAGAATGTTTGTCCCAATCCATACATATTAAATCATCAAAACATAATTAATTATGTTCTCCACCGTTGTTAAAAAAGGATCCGCTAAATCCAGTTTTTTATCATCTAGCCATGTGTTCCCAAATACAATTTTATACATCAAACACTAGCACCAATCTCATTGACGAACTCCTGAAGATGACAGCATTGCCTGTCGAAAGCTTGAGTATTTGTAAGTCAGAAGGATACACTTGTCTTAATTTGTCGATATCCACAATGACAAGTCTTTCATTTAACTAGTTATTATCGACAATAACTATGAATCGCATATATATATATATATATATATATATATAGGGTGGCCCATTCATGTGTGGACGGAATATTACTCATAAACAAATACATTTTGGGAAAATCTATTTACGGCATGTTATACATGACATTTGAGGGAACATTTCTAAAATATTGACAATTATACTCTTTTAATTAGGTTTATCCAAATATGCAATAAAATTTGAGGGATTCTATTTGAAAAATCACAAGTTTGATATGTAGGTCGAAATTTGGAACATTCTGTATAATGGCCAATATTTTAGAAATTGTGTCCTCAAATGTATTTGTTTATGGATGTATATATATATACAGGGTTTGTCCATTCATGGTGGACGATGCCTTTGATGTCAAAAAAGACAATGAGCATCGTTTTCACTTTGGATTTGCTCATTCTTCCCTTTTTTGGGTGAGGAGACGCCGTTGTGTGCCACTCGGAAGATTGCCTCTTTGTCTCGGGATCATACTCAAAGATCCACGGCTCGTCACCTGTGATTACGTTATTCAAAAATTGGGGGTCACTTTCACACATGTTACACATGTTCAAATTTTCTTGGCACACTTCCACTCGCCGCAATTTCTGGTCGTCAGTGAGCACTTTTGGGACCATCTTCGCGCACATCTTGCGCATGTTCAAATGCTGTGTCACAATGTCATGAACCACAGATTTTGGTAAATTTAACATCTGGGCAATTAAACGAATACTTAGTCGACGGTCTGAGTTCACGAATCACCTTATCGGTGTTTGTCGAAGTCGAAGGTCTTCCAGCACGGTCTCCATCAGCGACCTCTTCCCGGCCCTCCAAAAAGGCCTGCTGCCACCGAAACACACCACTTCTTGCTAAAGCAACACCTGGGTAAGCCTGCTTGATCATATCAAACGTCTCTGTCGCAGATTTACCGAGTTTCACACAGAATTTAATCGCGTACCTCTGCTCTAACGAACGCTGCATTTTCGGCTTGCACCACTCACAGAAACACGTCTCGCGAAAATGCCTGTCCTGACTCTCCAAGTGCTCAGAGACAACTGACCAGCCGCAGCCGCCCATTGGTTAGCTAGGAACGCCCTCTACCGAATCCAGTCGGTAGAAGTACAGTCATGGCGGAAGAAAATGAGTCCTATTACTTTCCGGACAAACCCTGTATTTAATCCATTCATTCAAATATTTCTGTCAACTCAAGGATGTCGCATGCAGCAACCCTCTGTACGTTTGATTTGGCATGTTAATCGAATGCGAAAACAGGTGCAAAAAGGACTAATATGGACATGAAAACAATTTCTCTCGAAATTTTCTATTTCCTCAGCATTACCTTTTGCTTGAAATACTAATTATGCTATAGCTCACCTATATTTTAGGATATGTTTTGGTTGCAATTATTATTTATTTGCATTTAGAGCTTGCACATAAGTAAGGTATTCATATAATGCATTATTTTTCCTGCCTTAATAACCATGTATTGATAAAAAAATACTGATGACAAGTTACAAAATGAAAAAACAGCATTTTCCAATAACTTTGATTGCCATCCAGCTTTTCCTTTCATTTATAATTATTATACGACCTCTCCAGAATAGTTAATGCTAAACAGGGGTGTTTATTTGCGGCATATTACACATTTCGCACATTTTATGAAACTGAACAATAAACTTGGTGAAAGCTACATGTTTTTTTTCAGGCGGAAAATATAAAACTGCAGGATAAAAATCTTGTTACATTCCATATATATGTTTATGATGCTAGCAATTACGTATTACAGCGTCTTGGAGAAATGTTATTTGTACGAAGCATGATCCATAAATGCTAATTGAATTTTCGTTAGATCTTGACTTTGCATGCTATACTTATAACACATTCACTAACTTTGTCCTCGTGGATTCAAAATAACAGTACTGACAATTCTGTAGTTAGACTATAAAAACAAATATAAAATCATACCTGGGGAATTGGCATTAATACAGGCTAAATTTCTACTTCCTACTAAAATTCTGATGACAATATTCACATCTTCAATTGATTTACTGGCCACTCTTTTTTATTTATTTTTCTTTTTGGAAACTTCAGCTATCTTAAAAATTAATAAACTAAACTTAGGCTGTCCTACCAGACAACCAAATAGCAGAGAGGATGAGAATATCTTATTAGGGTATATAGAATTTATACCAAAATCAGCTTCTTTGATTAAATGTCGTTTTCATTTTCCATGCTGCTTGGTTGTACACTTATTTGATACACTGATAGATATATTGATAACCTGTCGTATAGATTGATGAACATGATGTAAGAAGTGTACGAATTCAAGAAGAACCAGAGACTGAAGAAGAACCACTACCCGGAACTAGTAAAGATGAAGATTTCAGTGAATTAACTGAAACAAGTAAGCGTTGAATATAGTTTCCCTTGTTTTAGTTTCTAAATCGCCCAATCGAAATATTGTAAGAAAGATAAATATTGATAATAATTGTTTTTAAAAACAAACTGCGTACCTGTTGGTACGTTACATATAATTAACCCAGCAACTATGTAGGTACATGTATCCTATTTAAATGATTTACTTCAGGCACAATAATAATTGTTAAATTTTACTTGCAGAAGACACTATTGGAAGAAAGATACTACAAATGCTTCTCTTCATATGGGCATTTATAGAAAGTTCCATGATTAGCCTGACCAACTTCCTGAATAAATATTCTAGAGACTATAGATACGTTCTAAAAGTCTTATCGAAGGAGAAAAAGATCCTGAAGGTATGAACCGGAATCATTAATCCATTTGTTTTACATTATATATATAAAGAAAAAATGGTCATGCGGAGAAAGGTATATAACAAAAAATAGGAAAATAATGGGCAAAATCCGCAAAAAGAAGGAAAGTGGATTCGAGCAGAAAATATGATAGGTAACCCGAGCGATACGTATTTCTGCTGGTTGGCTTCATCAGGCCCGAAATGAAGGCGCATATGATGAAGCCAGTTAGCAGAAAAATACGTATCGCTCGGGTTACCTATCCTATTTTCTGCTCGAATCTACTTTCCTTCTTTTTGCGGATTTTACCCATTATTTTCCTATTTTTTGTTATATACCTTTCTCCGCATGATAATTCTCTCTCTCTCTCTCTATGTATATACGCCCACATCACTGCACATTGCCGGCAGTTTGTGTTACTTTTATTTGAGTATGAAGATACTTAAAAGAAAGTGAGTGAAAACAACAGTCCTCTATCACTCAATTGACTCTCGTGTCATGCAGGACGCTCGTCAAGACTTATCTATGCATGTCAAAACATGGCTCGTGTGAAAACAAGTGTCACGCGTTTGTTTTGCATCGCAACAACTTGCCGCCCCTGTGCACCGCCAGTCGACGCGAATTGGCTAGGTGACAACTTACAGGTTTTAGGAATAACTTTTGTTTTCATAAAGTTAACAAAATCACCCGCAAAAAGCGTGATTTATAACTATATGGAAACAGAGGTTTTTTTTGTTAAACCTGTTAGTTGTTACATAGCTGATTAGCTTTTAGCACCCAACACGGGAGATTACACAATTCAGTTCAGTTTCAAAAGAGGATTGTTAGTTTGAAATTCATATTTTTCCTAACCCCAGCACCCTGCAAACCCTTAACGGAAGTTACTATTTGTTGCATAGGAAAAAACAGCATACAGTGTAGGATTACGTGTCGGGCCTGGGCAAATGTGGCACCCAGCTGGCTCCTACCATAGTCTTCTACGCCAATCCATGTAAGTACTCAACCAAAATGCATGAGTGAGCTAGATAGTATTTAGTTGCACTAATGTCATAGCATACAGGAGTAGTTACTTGTAGTGTGTTTGTTTCTTTCTTTTCCGTTTAGCGATCTGTCACCGGAGCTGTCACAATCTACTGGAAGAATGTTTAGTCCATCTGACTCATACAGGTATTTTAATTAATTCGATCAAAAGGTGCGTTTTTTTTTCGATGTTGTCCCCATATTTTTCATTCTCATGCTATGTTTAACATCTTCATTCATTTTTATACTTTCCACCATAGTGACTATCGAGATATAATAATTGAAAATCATTTAAGCACATGCTGTTTAATCCAAGGTGATTTACGTAACGTAACATCCAATAGATATGAATATTTGACAATACCTTATTAAAAAAAAATTGCTTAAGAGACTATTCAGATATTTGTGGTTTAGCTATTCGCATACAAGTTGTGGTCTCCATCGGAAAAAGCTATTATGTTCAGAAATTAGTTCAGGTCATTATGTCTTGTTATAAATACAGCTACTCTGCAGTTCATAATTTCTCCAGCTGTTCTTGCTATATTTTTCGATTTGATCACATATTCAATTCTTATCCAAGCCTGCATCAAGACACCAAATTCCAATATTTTTTGCAGTCTTACTCGTTCTTTGGAGTGGCCCTTTATTGTACTCGTTGGCACACCGAGATCGATATGGAATAGATGACATTTTTTTCATAATTTTCTCATGCTTTTCTTCAGCATGCACAATATACATCATATATACATGGATCCACAAAAATACCAAAAAGAAGAGTTGAAAACCATTTTTTTCTAGAGCTTGATAAGAGAGATTGAATGGCAATTATTGCATAGTTTTATGTGTATGTTGTTTTTGTTGCATAGTAAATTGGTAATTTATTATTATTCATATTATATCATCGCAAATGCCATTTTAATGCTAACCATTTAAATTAGATATAACATTGTGATATAATATTTAACTATCACAGCCTTTCATATTTTTGACGGTTCAAATAAAGATTGGTAAGCTCCATTTTTTCATATTAATATAACGCTATAACCAGATATAACGCTTTTCCTAAAGAGTTGACGTTTTTTTGGTGAGACAAGAGCATCATCTACTTGCAGGTTTCTTTACTATGTCTTATCTTCATTTTTGGTTATGAATCTTGAAAGCAGTATGCTTATGTTGCGATATAAAAACAATTTCGTTAACCTCAAACATATCTAAAGCTGACAAGCTACAAAACCCATATTAGGTGTAGGTTCCAAAAACAACCCCTGCTTTAGATGTACTATTATTCTGTTTACTTGCATAAAGACTAGCACAACTCACTCTGAAATCATTTATTTTCTTCACATCAAATTCATCTTGAATGTTTGTACTCATATGTATGTATGTACCTACTAGTAAACAGAAACTGTATTATTACTCATTCATTGCTTGGGCATTACAGTGATATTGTGGTATGAGTTATAATGAGGCTTTACACTATTTCCAAATATTTAATGATTACCTCTTCCTATTCACTAGCATTGATACATATAGGGGATGTGATTATTCATGTTCACTTGTTGGACCAGAACGTACAATTATTGTCGTGAACACTTTTATACAAAGTATATACGTGATAACTTCTTGCGGCCAACATGACCATTTATTTCCTGAGAGACAGTCACCTATAAATTAATGGTAATATATTTCTTCATTCGCTGCAATCAGGGCTACATCGCAGCGTTTGACTGATGATGAAAAAGTGCCTACTAGTGATGATAGTGATACCAGGGCTTTAGGCACCTCATTACCTTATTCATCAGAATATGATAGGTATTTAGTCAAGTGTCATGTGCAATATATACATTTGAGCCATCGTTTGGAACTTCAGTTTTTTAAAATGTAACCAAGAAATGTGAACGTAAAGATGGTTTTAATTGTAGTATAATCATAGAAATTTGTAGATCCATGTACATCTCCAAAACAAATCAGCTATGTACAGATGTCTCCTCAAAATACGATTACACTAAAATGTTTAGTTATATTGGGTGTTCGAGCGGTTTATAGAAAAGTGAAAGAGGACGCATGTTAGTAGATGTGGTGTTGTTTCCATACAGATGAGTCAAGCAGCTAGTTATTTCAAAAACTAAAAAGGTTACCGTCCATGTTTGCAGTAGGCGCACAGTTGTCATCGAAATTAGAAGGGTTCTGAAAAAGTTACACAAAACTCTTGCTTGGGTGTACATTGTTCGTTCAAAATGCAAGGGACACTACCAATTCATGTTTCACTCAGCATTCAAGTTGCGACCATAGATGCGGGCCTAGTATTAAAAAATCCTACTAAATTATAAATATTATTGATCCCGGGAGTCAGGTGGATGATCTCATGGAACCTGCTCAAAAACAGAAACAGGTGTTACTATAATACTCTAAATATACGAAAAATTGCAGGGAAATTGTAAATGCTTTTACTAATTTGGTTGTGAATAAACACAAAACACGTAATCATGCGTCTCCGCCCAAATACAAAAATTTAGTACTTCTAATGACATCATTTAACTCCTCTTTCAGTTTTCAGCACCCTTCAACATCCTCTTTGCCAGTTGCTGGAATAAAAAACTGTTGGTTCAAATCGCATTTATTGCTAATGTAGTGAGAGTATGTAGTTTGTAGTGAAAACGTCTGGCATTTAAAAATGTTTGTAGTGCCTTATTTGAGCGTTTTCATTTATTTATGATTTGATAAAGAATATTATGAGCTAAGTAATCTCATTATTTCTATTTTTCTAGAGACAACTTCTACCGAAAATCTTACAATTTTGGAATGTTTGTGAAGACTATACTGTCAAACTAAAATTATATATAACTATTGAACCGGTATTTTCAACAAAATTATTCCCATATTAAAAAAAATGGATATACCAAATAACATTCCTTTGCTATTCATGAAACTTGATATTAAAGTTTTGTGAAATGTCATAGGACTTTAGCACATAGAAAGCACAGTCCCTAGTGCATTGCAGAGTTGTTAGCTAATAGGTATACGAAGTAGGTGCTAAAAATAACTAGCCTGATACAGATGCCACAGATAAATGAAATTGTTTTATTAATTCTCTGATGAATACATTCATTCTATTTTGATATATTGGATGCTTATAGCCGGACGGCTTTATGGGTCAGGCTAGAAATTATTAGCGCTACCTTTGTGAAGATGTACCAGAGTAGTTGTGGCTGAAGTATCGCCTATTTTTTGTTTGTGTGGCTGCTGCGTAGGCGCAAGGCGAGCGTTCTCACGATACCCGAAATTCGCATACTGGCCGCAAGCTTGGAGCGTGGACTTGATTCATCCACTGAATCTGATTCTGAAAGCTCCTCCAGGTAATTCCCACAGCTGCGAGCATCTTTCGTCTCGTTACCTCATCTATGCTATTTTGCTTTTATGTATTGCTTAATTCACGCAATTGCTTTGTAGGTTGCCACACGTTCAAATCCTTAATAGTGGACACTAAAATCGATAACCGGAGATGGAGTGTTATTTCTAATAATGTATTTCATAAAATACAGGGAAAGGTATCGTTCTTTTGCAACCGCCCGTGGCGGAAGAAGTGCGGAAGTAGTTATGTAGCTCACATTAAAAAAAATCTGTCGTTGTCACTGTGAAATACTCCAATTGTAGGAGGACATATATCTTTGTACAATTCAGTGACAATGATGCTATAAATCTCTAGTCTAGTGACTAGTGGTGGCAGATATTTCACGAACTATGCTCTCTACTGGCAACCACGACCTTAATAATGTATTTCATAAAATACAGGGAAAGGTATCTTTCTTTTGCAACCGCCCGTGGCGGAAGAAGTGCGGAAGTAGTTATGTAGCTCACATTAAAAAAATCTGTCGTTGTCACTGTGAAATACTCCAATTGTAGGAGGACATATATCTTTGTACACTTCAGTGACAATGATGCTATAAATCTCTAGTCTAGTGACTAGTGGTGGCAGATATTTCACGAACTGTGCTCTCTACTGGCAACCACGACCTTTACTTTGTAATGTTCTAGATAATAATAATAATAACATGCTTTTAATCGATTCTTTTACAAATACATATAATATACAGGGTCCGTCAGAAAGAACGCATGTTTTTCGAATGGGTACTATATCGAGTGGGCTGGTCCCGTGTCGGTGGGGAAAGGCGTTTGGATAGTGGGAGAAGTGCCGTTTCAGTTGGCAAGGTGGTTTGGAACGTTGAGCATCGTGTGTTCACTGTACGTCGGTACTTTCAAAATGGCGAGTTTGTCGTTCGAACGCAACGTGAGTTTCGCGTTCACTTTCGTGTTCCGCGTCGTGGGACAGTACCAGACCGTAACACCATTTTGAGATGGATGGAAGCATTCAACACAACAGATGATGTGATGAAGAAAAAACCGCCAGGGCGAAACAGTACTGTTAGAACCCCCGAAAACGTAGACAGAGTGAGAGTTGACACGCTGCAAAGCCCGAACCGTTCCGTCAATTTGCGTGCCAGTTCCCTAGGGATCCACGCGTCATCTGTACGTCGCACCTTGAAGAAGGATTTAGTGTTCCATCCTTACAAAATCCAAGTCTGTCAGCAACTGTTGCCAGGTGATTATGTACAACGTGTTAATTTTGCACAGCTCAGTTGGTTAACAATGACATGGCGTTGTTTATGAGTGATGAAGAACATTTTCATTTACGTGGATACGTCAATAAACAAAATTGTCGATGTTGGTCCCCAGTGAACCCTCAACAGTTGCATGAGCACTCCCTGCATACCCCCGAAAGTTACAGTTTGGTGTGCAGTAGGCCCAACGATGATTATTGGCAATGGGCTCATTTCGGGAGAGGCTTGATTCCTGCATTTCGGCTCAAGGGCGCCATATGGCCGACATAGTTTTTAGAACGTAATTTTTGTTTTACTCAGAAAAATGGCATGTATTTCTGAGTATTTTGATGTAATAAAATATTTTCCCATGCTTATTTTGACTGTACTACTCATTTAAAAAACATGCGTTCTTTCTGATGGACGCTGTAAATGAGGTTTATTGCCGACAAATTTGCGTATTTTTTTTCACATTCATGAATATATCCATCTGTAATCTCTATCTCTCGTTTTTTCCTCTCTGATTGACGAATGCAAAACATATTTTCTTTGTATTCGTTGCAAATAAAGCTTATTAATTGATTGACTATAATATATTGTACAAGACAAGAATCTTGAAATATTTCATTTTATAGCTTTTTTTGAAGGTCGACTTTTATGCGCTAATTCATACGTTTCTTCCTAGCTGATGCTTTTGTGTATTCTGGGCAGCAGGCATAATTTAATAATAAATGTAATATTGATACAATTTCCAGATCGGAACAGTAAATAAATAATGTATTGCGTTGTGATTTTATTATGTTTAACTTCAGCCATGTTTTTGTTTCAAATAAATGTTATGCATATTTCTATGTAAATGATATCTGTGTCTTCCAAAAAATTATAATAATTAGAAGATCTGCTGACAATTCTTCGTAATTACGTAATATGTTATTGTGAAACAATAAAATCGACAAAGAAAACAGACATATCCAGGCAGGTACAAGATCTCGGAAAAGAGAATCTTTTTCTGTACCTAAAATTAATTTCTCATTTATTAAAAGATCTTTGTTATACACAGCGCCCAAGATATATAATTCCATTTCTTAACAATTCAGAACAAATTCATATTCGTAATACAAATCAAATATAAAATAAAGCCTTGGATACTTGGGACAAGTTTCGAACAATTGCTTTCTTAAATTCATTTTTTTTTGTTTTTAAACGGTTTGTTATACCTTGAAAGTCTGTTTCAAGCACTCAGACTTTGTACTGTTTATCATTTTATTGACTTCGTTTCCCTGTGTATTTCTCTGTATGTATCCCATAACTGATCTGGAAATTCATTGAATACATATCTACTCAAATGGATCATTAAATTGAAATATAATTTGAAGCAAGACCAATTTATCTCCAAATTAGGCGGTTTGAAGCCAAAGTTTTTCTAAGCAATGCATTCAAAACTGATTTGATCGTCATTATATTTCTGGTTTCATTACTTTTACTTTGACGAGCACATAGTTATACTTTTGTACATTTTATCTTGTGACTATGCTTCTTACATTCAGCGATGTTTTACTCACTTTTGTGGTTTATATCATTTTTCATAGGCTATATAACTTTACATGTAAAAAATTGAAACTTATTTGGGACCTGGATACTGGACAGCGGTAGAAAATCACTTAACCTTTTGGTGGGGGTTTTTACCGGCCACTGCAGGCTGAACAGGCACTTATCCCTTTTGAGGGTGAAGTGAGCAGCCCAACTTGCCCCATGTACTGGGAGGAGGACGAAACTGCGTTACACCTTCTGGGCTATTGCCCATACTGACCTTTATTAGGTCAGGTCGGTTGGACAGTTTAGTGAATTAACATGTGGGTCGGCAAAAGGGGCCTCCCCATCACTACTACTACTACTACTACTACTACCACGGGGTAGCAACTGGTTACTAGGAATCGGAAAATCTGCACTACGTATCGGCGACGGCAATTCGTTATTGACCAACTATGGTGAGAGATATCTGAACTGTAGTTGGTTTATAGTGGATAATTTTAGAACTTTGATCAATTTATACAAAAGTCAAAAAATACACGTGCTGATCACATGTTGACGTTTAGTCCAAGTTAGGATTTCTTGTATGTCGAACCACATATAAAAAAGAGGATCATTTTATTAATTATTTTAATGTGAATATTTCCAGGCCTTTACACAGTGTTTTTTTTAAAATACAGTTTATGATGATTTCTTATGTTTCTGTTCATTAGGAACCGTTTTCTCTTATCGTTAAGAAACCCTAAAATGTATGAAAACTTCTGACGAAGTTGACTTTTTGATAAATTATTATTGCATTTATGATTCATTTCATAACCACTGCACTGATATATTTCCGAAATAAAAATATTTGTCGGCTAGGATCGTTATTAAAGTCATTGACACATATCAAAACAATTTTATTGCGGTTATCACCAAGCAAGAGCTTCTATGACGTATGAATATTGCATACATTGTATATTTGTAAAAAACTATTTCTTTAATTCTTGATGTGCTTTTTGTCTGTCCTTGTTTTTCTAATAAATTATCAGCTTTTCTGTACTTTATTTTTTACAGGAAAACCTCACCAACTCCTTCTATCATCCACCCAGAAGTTGAAGAACTTTCGCAGTATGATCAACCGACAATAGTCCGGTTATTGTTAGCCATATGGTACATTGTGATGAGCAGGTCGGAAATCTTGTGCTACTCGGTCATTTTCTTGAACCAGATGAAGACTTCGACCCTGATCACTCTACCACTGCCAATGATGGTAAGTATATAAACGTAATCCATCTTGAGATAAACTCCCAGAAAAAGTGTATGTTTTTTTATTATTCATAGTTAGTTAAGCAGAGTTGGGCATCACTCTATTTTTTGATCATTCATATTCATCCAGTCAAATTGAGAGAAGACCATGTTCACTTTGTGTAGTCTAGGAGTAGAAATGTTTATGCGCGATAATAGATTATTGTGATAAAAAAATGAACATATCACAAATCTCAGAGGTGATCAGAAAAAAATACACAGGATGTCCGAGATTATGATAGAATAATACTTTGATTCTATAAAAGCAATGATTTTCGATTTTATTTTTGAAATTTTGCTAGATATCAAAAATACTTTCCATGGTCCCTTTTTTAAGCTTGATAAGAGGACGTTGACATATCTTCAGTTTGCAGCTTTTTCTCTGGGAAACTACCAAATTACTTTTTTAATTACGGCCTTGTAATTTTTATTACAAAATAAAAAGTCATTTTAATTATGATTAAGAGGTGATATGAAATTATAAATTGGTTTGAACGTATTTTGGGCGTAATTTATTTATATATTATAAATAATAATTCGTCAAACCCAAAATTATGAGTGTCGTTTTTTTCAAATAAATAGAAATCGGTAAAAGATAGCTCAATTCAGTAAACTTAATGCAAAAGATAATTTCATCTTCTTATTCAAGGAACATTGTAAGTGTGGCCGAGATACAATCTTTATCCTGAACACTCTATTCCTGATCCACATCTTTTTAATTCATACTGATTTATTCTATTTTTTATCTCAGCATGCCATCAATATATTGATTTTTTCGGCCAATCAGTGGTTTCGACACAGTCATCTTAATTCTCCTTTACAAATCGCAAAAAGTGAGTTTATTTTTGAAGCCCTGCATTATTGAGCAATTTTGGGCCATTTTAAAATGTCACAATTTCGGCAAGAGTGGCTTAAGATAACCAACAATCTATTAGCTTTACATGCCACAGACTGTTTTAAATTTCGCACTGTTTTCAGAAGTATAGTTCTTCTCATTTTTTTTTGCGGGCCATAGTAAAACTACCGGTGTCGCTTTCCTACAACAACATCTGTGCGTGGAGGCTCGTTCGCGTAAGCACACAGACTTACGTTCTTTTGTTTCTTCACGCCATTTCGAAAATTTTCTGGCCATCTTGAAAATTTGCCCCTCAACATTAGTATTCCTCATATATACTTCTCACAGTCAGTAGGACAACTCACTTGTCATGGGCGTGTGATTTGAGGTTGCCTTTTATTGTTCCTCATAATAAAAAATATAGCATTGCCTGAAAATATAGCTAGGGGCAATATCATTAGTTTTGGCAAGTTTTATTGTTGTGGATGATAGCAACGCCCCTTTATAACCCAAATCATCTATACAGGAGCAGCTGCTATGAAGATCGGTTTGCGACCTGTTTGTAATTTCCCATATAAAAGTTAAATCACTTATATGACACAGTTAGTCGATCCGCTTGTTTATTCCGTATGGCATAGATGACGTAACCGTCAAAAACAGTGATGAGACTGATAACTATTTAGTAGAAAGGCAATAAGCTTGTTTAAATCTGATAACTTTCGGTGGAATGACAATTCAATTTTGGCATATAACACAATCTTAATACTTATATTAGGTTGCCAGTTTGATTTTCCTCCGTTCATAAGCGCGAAACTAGCGTTCCAAGTGGACATTGTACAAGGCCATTTATATTTTGTGCGGGATAATTTATTATCATGCCCAAAAGGACATACCACTACTAGATATAACCAAAATTCTTTAAAAATTTACTTCTTTAGGTTAATTACTTTACACCATCAACTATTCCTCCATAATGACTATTGTTATAATATGCCAGCCAAACTACGTCAAAATTTAAAAAATAATATTTATTCACAGCTTCAAAAGAGAATTAAAAAAATGATGCTACAGTTACAATTTACTGAAACTATAAGTGGTTGAATACATCTCGTTCTTACCATTATTGTCATTTAACATTTTATAGATATTATAGCTATCAATTACATGTTCTTATGTGTGATGTATATGATTTTCCTTACAAAGATATAGTACTGCTATTTGTGAATAATTTTATTTACATTAGCTATATAGGTGGGGTGAAAAATTGCTATTCCAATTCCCAGCTTTTTGAGGTATTATTTTTCGTATTCTGTTATTTACTGATATTCTTGTTCTATTATGTATTAATACTCCAATAAACATTATTAGTATTTCTTCAAAGTTATGAATGTCCTTTGTTGTACGTGAATAGTCTGTACTGTTTGTTAATTGGTTCGGCGCTCTCATGCTCGTATTTTATGATAGGTGTTCTTCTGGGGCTCACTGACCATCCCGCGTCCCTCGAAAACATTCTGGGTAACCATCATCGCATACACGGAGGCTATTGTGCTGTTGAAGTGCATCTTCCAGTTCGATATTCTGCAGGGTGGTAGCAGTGCGCTGAACAACGTGGACTCCGGTCCTCTGATGCCTACAAAACTACTCGGGTTGTACAGGAAAGAGGCTTACGCAATGTGGGATTTGATTTTGTTGCTTGTAGTTTTCTTCCACAGGTAAGTACTATGGATCATTTCATTAGTGAACACCGAAAATAGTATGATGGCTTCAAAATGATCAGAAGTCAAGAAAATGCTAGTAACAGTGACTTCCAGTTATCAGTTTTGAAATGTCGCCATGTTGTTCTCCCAGATTTCGCAGACTTATACACTGAAAACCAAATTTGTCTGACGGCTTGAGTTCAATGTGTACAAGAGAGAAGTGTGTATAGACACATATGTTTGAAAGAGATAGGCCGGCAATCTGCCGTGTTGTCAATATGTTTCACCAGTTCCTTGAATTGAGATGCATGTTGAAAATATTAGTTAGTTTATTCTCTACGCCCAAATATTGGTTTTATTTTGAGCGTAAAACTGTTTGAATTGTGAATTGTGTCGAATCTGTTTAGGATCAGTTCCGGCACAAGTATTATGTAAAAAACCTAAAAAAAGTCAAAAAAATGTCATCTTGCAAACTAGGTACTTTTTAGGGTGCAAACAGTCATTCCACGTTTGCTCACTAGGATCGTTGTGACCGTCCATCAATGGAGGAATGACTCAACTAAACTACACGCATTGCTGGTTGCATATGTTTTGTAAAGCCGAGTGGTCTGTAGTTTTCATCTCTGAGAAGAAAGTTGGTTGAATAGCAAGATCGCATCTGGGTGATTATGTGTATTGGTCTGCATGTGAATAAAATCAGTGATATTTGATGTGTGAGAGAATCATTACTGAATATGCTGCTAATGAAGTATATCTATTAGCTGTGCCCGACGAGTTAGTTGTGTTGTGCTTTCTGGAAAGAGTTAATGTTCAAAGTTATAAATTACGAAAAACTTTGACGAAAATTACGGGAAATCACCACCGCGCCCGCGTTGTGTCTAATTACTGTAAGCATGTATATGGCTTGTAATTCGACAGTGTACAGTGAATATAATTATTTCTTATCTCTCTCATTTTTTAAATTCAGCAAATTTGCATATGTAACTTCCAGAATGGACAAGAAAAAGTGGATGCGCAACTAATTTCTTGCTTCAATCTCAACGAAGTCTGTTTGAGACAAGAATCCAATGGAATTATCATCAACACATACAACCTACAACTTAGACCTCCAGTAATGCCATCTCTGAAGCAGATTTTACATCACATCAGAGCCAAACATTGATAACTGAAGCCTTCATGACGTTAAGGCAACACGTACAACTAAGTCCTAAGTTAACATCTTGTTGAAAAACCTACAGAATGTCAAAAAAAAAACAACAGTATAATATCAATATACGGTATTATGTCACTTTTCAAGATACGTAATACCCGTGTGGGTCGGTCCTAATGGCGCTCCATTTTAGGTCGAAACGAAAGGTCAGGATTGCCACAAATTCTGCAACATTTCATCATTGGTTCGTTTGATAATACCGCATCTTAAACATTCCAAGGCAAGGTTTCCACCTCCATGATCATAGATGAGCGATTTTGGTCAGTACCCATCTAGCGCTCATTGGGGAGTATCGCTCTGCTTCGAAATGGTTTTCACCTGCATACACGCAGGCGGTAATAATTTGTACTACGTTATGTTATTTGTTACATTTTCCGACCGCAGCGCTGTCGCAAAATGTAACAATAACTCAGGATGTGGTGATTTTGTCATCATCGGTGGAAATAAAAGATAATTGTAAAATAAGTTGAAACACTAAGTCGCATCAAAATTGAAATAAATAATCCCAATCAAATGAAAACAAAATACTAAATTAAATGTTCAAACAGTCCTTCGTATTGGGTTTGACAGTAATCTAACCTAATGTAGAAGTCTGTGCGAACATTTTCTGCTGTAACATATTGGCAACGCGGCAGATTGCACGACTTTCTACGTCACCTTTGCTAGGCAATGTGGTGATGACCTTGGCTCTTCAGCCGGCTTTTATATCTTTCTAAGATGTGCTGATACACACTTCTGGCGCTTCCCTCTCTTACACATTGAACTCTAGCCGTCACACCAAATTGGTTTTCCCTGTATAATTTGTGGTTCATATAAGAAAACATTAGTACTAACCCTACCGGACTGCTGCAGGCCTTATATTTGTAATGGTCGAACCTTCCATTCAGATTTTCCAATCGATGACGTTATAATTTAAAACCATCTTTGAGATTTCATTTACATCCCCAAATTTTTCAAGCAGTCACTTTAAATGTGCCTTTTTATATGTAATTTCATATTTCCGATAACACAAAAAAGCATTAAAAGATAACATTATTTAACAAAATTTTGAACCTTCTGGATATAAAGTAAAGTAAATAATAAGTGTTTGAGATAAATTTTTGGGTACTGAACAGATCTGCCATACGCTATGAAACTTGGGGGTTGGCGACTGCAGTCGAATATGCGCTAATATCGCTCAGGTAATTAAAAGTAGCGAGCGCGGCTTATGAATCAGAAGTGGCCAATTTGATGGTCAGTTTGCTCCATTATAGTACAAAGTCAGTAAGTACATCCCCAACTTGTGGCGGTTGCCATTAGCTTTATAGTCACCACCAGTGGTCGTCTAAAATGCGGCAGCCTCATAGTGGTTTTGTTTTTGATCATTTGTACTGTCCATAATTAAATGTTTATATATATATATATAAACATTTAAAATAACAAATAGACTAGTAAGGCTTAGGTAATTTGTACATCGTGAAAAACCGTCACTCATTTCCGTCGGTCTGTTTGTCTGACTGTCTATCTATCGGTCTGTCCGCTAATCTTATAACCGCCTATAACTTTGCATTTTACTACTATGCCAAGGACTTGTAGTGTTTGAAAACTGGTCCAGTGGCGGCGGGGCAGGGGGGAAAAAAGAAAAATAAAAATATTTCAAACTTCATTTTTTTGACATTTTGATTACGAAGTTTTAGAATTTCCTTATCATTTTCAGACATTGTTTGGAGAGACTGAATATTGTAGGTCGCAAGCTGAATGTGGTAAATGTTTTTAAATTGTACCATATTTGGTGTCAGTGAAAGAGCTCCTATTATTAGGAAGCCGCTGATCCCGGTAATATTATGCGCTTGTCAGACATAATGAGTCACATATGTTGTCCATACATCTGGCATGGGAACAAATATGTTTATATAGTTCGATATCTAGAGGTCGAAAATCCATCGTACCTAAGTGGACGTACCTAGTCACGATTTGATTCCGCCTTTTGAAAAGACTAATCTCATTTCTTTGAAACCTCCAACTAAGGAGTAGGAAGTATAGAGTCAATCTACTTGAAGCCATTATTTATATATGTGTTGTCAAACAGGGTGATGCTGAAATCTCTGGGAATATGGACAACATCTCCACCAACAACAGTTGCTATTTTGAGTGGCGGCGAATATCGACTTGAAGACGGCCACTTGATTCCCATCTGCAGTAGTTCGCCTAAAACTGATTCTGATAATACTGAGTAGGTATAGTTTTAAATATTCACTTGCAACAACAGGTATGTAAATGTAAATATAAACAATAATTCCAGTCGGCGCGCTTCAAGAATATCCGAAAGAGATCTTGGTAAAATCAGCAAACTATGGAAGACCCATTTGTGTTATTAGTTCGACGAGAGGATAGGAAAGTCAATATTTTCACATGTAGAGTGTATTCCTAGAGTTTAATCCGTCCATTCCAAATCTCATTGTATATTCTTGTTGCTCTGATATTTACTGGAGTGTTAACATTCATATATATATTTTCAGGCATGATACTCCTAATTCAGCAGCGAAATCACAAAATCGTTCTAAGCCTAGTTCAGGTAGAAGTTCACCGGGTGGAGAGATTGTATCAGTGGAAGTTAAGAAAGAAGTTCCATTTAGATACTACTCGAAAACCGTGCAAATGGGGTAAGTAGCAACTTAGGTATCCAAGTGCTTGAGACTTAGCGTACTCAAAGACCAGGATTGAATGAACCATTCAACACATAGTACACAGTCGATACTGCTTAATACCACACAAAATCTGTACTGCGAAGTAATGTAAGTTGCTCTATTTCCAAAACATTCTAACAACCTGGAAGCAGTGTTTCAAAAGATATAGTACCCCTGATGAGAATATTCCTTTATATCTAAAGGTGTCCTGCTTTTATCTTCATATTCTATCCATTACACTGATCAACAGCCAAAAAATATCCTAAATAAAATCAGCAAAATATTACTATTTTTAATGTGCTAAAACCGGAATGAAACTTATTTTTTCAATATTACTTCAAGTTTTAGAGATACGGTAATTATATGTGCTCCTGCTGTGACAGTGTTAATATACTGTAATTCACAAGAATGCACGTGCTACATTTTTATATTCGGCAAGGAAAGGTGATGTAATCGGCATGATTGTGTTACGTTATACATACGTGTACAGTATATTGTTTTATATTAGCCATTTTTTCCTCAGTTGGCTGACAGCGTTCATGCAAGATGTCTCGAAAGTGTGTAAACAATCCAGATCAGTTTTGTTACGAGTGTGGTGATGTGACTTTTGCGTCTCAGAGACGGTCTATTACTCCACTAATAACAAAGGCATATCAGCTTTATTTCGGTTGTAAACTAGGTGATCAAGACAAACAGTGGGCACCCCACATCTGCTGTAATACATGTGCTTCAAGTCTGAGGAGCTGGTTAAATGGCAAAAAAACGGTCTATGCGCTTTGCTGTCCCAATGGTTTGGAGAGAGCCTACAGATCATATTAATGATTGTTACTTTTGCATGGTACCTTGTGTTGGACAAGCCACAGGTATGTCCAAGATAAAAAAACGGTTATTAACTACCCAAACATACCATCTGCGATGAGACCTGTGCCTCACAGTGACGAAAATCCTATTCCAAAATCCCCAGAATCCTACACTTGCGAATCAGAAAACGAATCAGATCATGGCGATCGAGTGATTCGTCAGGAAGAAGATATGCCATCAACGTCAAGAGATCCTGATTTTATACCGAGCACGTCATGCCACCAACTGCACAAAATAACACAGTCAGAATTAAATGATCTTGTAAGAGATTTAGAACTTCCAAAATGTAAGGCAGAGTTACTTGGATCACGACTGCAGCAGTGGAACTTGTTAGAAGACGATGTTTCGGTATGTGTTTTTCGTAAACGCCACAAAGACTTAGAACCATTTTTCAATATGGAGAATAACTTGGTTTTCTGCAGTAACATTAACGGCTTACTGGCGGCTTTAAATATAAACTATAACCCAGAAGAATGGAGATTGTTTATAGACAGTTCAACATTGAGTTTAAAGGCAGTGTTATTGCATATTGGAAATATTTTACCATCTCTTCCTGTAGGGTATGCAGTTCCCATGAAAGAATCATATGACAATATGAAGTACCTATTGACATGCATAAAATACGATGAGCACCAATGGCATATTTGTGGCGATTTGAAAGTTGTTGCACTTTTACTTGGGCTGCAGCTAGGCTACACAAAGTTTTGCTGTTTTTTGTGTGAATGGGACAGTCGGGCAAAGGCACTTCATTACACCAGACAAAACTGGCCTGTTCGTCAATTCCTAGAGCCAGGTCAAAAAAATGTATAGCATATGCCATTAGTAGATTCGAAAAAAAATGTATTACCACCACTGCATATCAAGTTGGGCCTAATGAAAAACTTTGTCAAGGCATTAGATAGAGATGGGTCAGCTTTTCAATACCTGCGTCAGAAATTTCCAAGACTAAGTGAGGCAAAGGTTAAAGAAGGTATTTTTGTTGGGCCACAGATTCGAAATATTTTGAAAGATACACAGTTTGAAAACACTTTAACAGGTATTGAAAAAACTGCTTGGAATGATTTCCGTCTGGTGGTCACTAATTTCTTGGGAAATAGAAAAACTGACAACTATAAAACCCTTGTCAAAAATATGCTGCCATCATATCAAAAGATGAGCTGTAATATGTCTCTTAAGATACATTTCCTACACTCACACCTGAACTTTTTTCCTGTCAATTGCGGAGCCGTAAGTGATGAGCACGGCGAACGTTTTCATCAGGATATTTCAACAATGGAAAAAAGGTACCAGGGAAAGTGGAATCCTTCCATGCTTGCAGACTACTGTTGGACTCTTGGTAGAGATGCTCCAGAAACGATCCATAAAAGAACAGCAAAAAGACAGCGCATATGAATCTTGTTACTTTTTTAATATATCCTTAAAAATAAAAAAAAATTTTTCTAAACCGCAACTAATTTTTTTATTTCATTGTCATTTTTGGATTCAGCGCCCCAAAATTAACAAAGAAGTGCACTTTTCCCACAAGATACAATTAAAAAACTAAAATTTGTTATCCAGTGTTATCGTACTTGAGGAAATTACATTTCCAGCTTTACAAAAATTATTGCGAAAATTATAAAAACAGGATTTCTAAATTTTTTTTATAGACATAAACTGATTGATGAAAAACAACTTGGATTACAGAAAAACAAGTGTCTACCCAAAATTATAAAAATTGCTCGAATAAAGTTAATATATCCTGTGTGTGTTATTAGATCTAGCTAAAACCTTCGACACAGTAGACCACTTGCGTGTATTACCAACCTTACACGACTCATTAATCAAAGGCAAGACTTATAGTCTCATGAAAAGTTACCTTTAAAACAGAAAACAATGCGTACAAATAAATGATTGTTCAAGCACGCGCAAATTGGTAACTTATGATAGCCCACAAGGGACAGTGCATGGCCCCTTACTATTTACAGTTTACATTAATAACCTGCTCAGCTTACAATCTGAAGGGGAATCATTTGCTTTGCAGACGATACTGCTATCATCCATTCGTATAACAACCCGTGGGATGATCTTAAAGAAAAGGTTGGAAGAGACTTTATAATCATTGGTTCAGACATAAATGCCTAACTATTGACTTCCAAAAAACTATGTTCATACCATCATTCACAAATCTTAGAAACAAACTGTCATTCTTTGTCTCTATACAGATTTATTGTGATCCATAAATACTCAAATAAAATTAACAAAAAAATTAAAACATCTATATAGGTTTACATTTAGACCCACATTTAAAGTGAAATATACATATTGATCATGAAATAACCATTATTGTAAGTATCTTAAAAAAAATTGAACAGAACAAAACAATAAAAATCGTATATCATGCGTTGATCGAAATATTAGGTTGGGGTGGAGCACTTAATAACCAAATGAATAAATTAGAAATCAACCAAAGACAATTTTTAAAAATTACCTTTGACAAGCCACGCCTATGCCCATGTGATTTGTTGTATCCTGAAGCAAAACTGTGAGACTGTATGCAACTTTTTTTTTACAGAACTATAATCAGTTTCAACAATGAAATTATCGCATTTTGTTAGATCGCTTATATTAAACGAGAAACAGAATCAACAAGATCAAGCAAACATCTTTCACCTCAAAAAGTATAGGTCAAAGATGTCATACTTTCATTTCCATTGGACTATATAACATATTACGGATTGATATAAGCAATATTTCAAATAAAACTAAATACAAAATTGAAACTTAAAAATTTACAATTTGTAAATCGTGTGAAACAAAATTAAACTTAATGAAGTAATTCAAAATTCCATTGTTCATATATATGTGCATATATGTACGTATTTCTATGTATGTGAGTTGAGGGTAGTCATTGCCGATTAATTAGTAGTTAGGAGGCAGTTATCCTTGGGGCAGCGAACAGTAGTTAGTCGTGCGAACTATTTCTTCATTTCTACAGTCTTTCCCACTACATTCTTAGAATAAATTATTCCCAACCTTTCCTGAACTATATCAACATCTAAAATAATTAAAATCAAAGTCGTCCAGATCTCCACGTGCTTTTCTGCTGACTTAATTTTTCATCTATTAAGTTTTGAAAGAAATTTTACTGTGACACCGTTGTTCTCCAAAACTCTTTCACATATTTGTACAAATTTTAATGATTTACATGGTGTTCCAGAAATAACACGCCAGAGTGATACGGGAGGTCAACATGACCTCAGTAACAGTTTTTTAGTTTTCGAGATATTGCCACTTTTAAGTTTTTTCAAAAAATCCCTACTTTTTACTCCTTTATGCCTGTTCTTTTTGCTCCTTTTTGCCTGTTATGGCTATAAAGAACTTAATAGTTGGTTGAGACAATTGAGTATTCATTTCATTGAAAACTAGCACGGTCTGCTAAGAAAACTAAATGATTACATTTGGTTTCAATGCAAAAAAATGTACCAGACTGAATCAGCAATTGATCTTAAAAACCAGCTGTTTTAAAGTTCTTTTAAAATAATATAACATTTGCAGGTTTTTTTTACTAAAAACTGTATAATTCCAAGTTTCGTCATTGCAGTCGTAATACCTGCGAAATATTTTGTTAATCTGATTGTTTAAGATTTATTTAGCATGATTGCTACTATTACATCCTTCTAAAAAAAAATGCAACTCTATGAATTTTCATTTTCCATGAAATATTCCTTTAATTGTTCCTTAAATATCTTTAAATTAAAAATTGACTTTATATCATTACTTAGTTTATTAAATTCAAGTAATCCTTTGAGAAATATTGATTTGCTAGTTAAATTACTATTACAATTTTGTAAATGAATTCTATGTAGTGTTCTAAATGTTCTGGCAAAAGATGATTTTATATTTTAAATATAAAAATTAGAACCAAATATGATTTTTTATATTCAACCACTGCAATTCTTGTAACATAGATTTTATTTTGGCGTACTTATTTTTATTTAATATTATTCTCATAGCTTTATTTTGCAAGACTTGTAATTTTGAGAATACAGCTTTATTGGCAGTGAACAAGATACGAGTAGTTGAACAATATAGTAAATGCGGTGGAATAATTGTATTATAAACTATTTTCTTGGAATAGATACTAAGACTATGAGAAGCCCTATAAAAGTAATTTATTTTCTTGGCAATTTTTGAAAAAATGTATTCGAAGTGATCCTTAAACTTTAGTTTACTATCAATATATACACCTAAATATTTAATTGATTCAACATTTTATTGCAAATAAAAAATAATATTTTGAAATGAGCATTACTTTTTAAGATAATTTGCCTGGTACATTGCTTCACAGTAATTAGTAAAACTTTAGTAAAGGTTTTCACATTGAAACAAAATGTTATATTTTTGATTTTTAACATAGTTTGGCTATGAATACTCGATTGCCTTAACCAACTATTAATGGTAGCCCAGAAAAAAAAATCATAACTTAAGTTCTTTATAGCCATAACAGGAAAAAAGAAGCAAAAAGAATGATTTTTTTGAGAAAAAACTTAACAGTGGCAACATCTCGAAAAACTTTGACTAAGGTATGTTGATTTTAACTGATTGGTATGACCAACTTACCTCCCGTGTCACTCTGGCGTGTTATTTCTGGGACAACCTGTATATGTGCGTGACTCCTATAAGAATCTACATCGCGAGAAGAAGTTCTCACCTAGTGAGATATCTTATCAACACCATTGAAGCTACAAACTCAACGACTTTGTAAGTTATATTTAAATCAACTTTTATACACTGTAGCTGCTTAGTATCATGTTAAGCTCCTGACAATGGTTGCATAGTTGACCGAAAGCTTGAGATTAAAAGTTAAAACAGCACTCTCATAGCTTATTGCTTGTCACTGTCCCAAAGATAACTGTCTCCTAATTATATATTTTTATAAAAGTTTTGCCATTCATTCCCACGCACAAGAATTCATTCTTTTGTGTGTATTTGCAGTTTATTTACGTATACTTATGTTAATTTTAGTTATGGTTGTATAATACGAGAATAAACTTATTATTCTTATTACTTGCAGGTTTGCAAAATATGGGGACGGCTTCAAAACATGGCTACATCAACTACTTGACCCTACGTCTCGAGTGGCGGCTGACGTCTATTCGTTGATGTTTCTGTGCGACTTCATCAACTTTTTCGTCATACTATTCGGGTATTCTTCATTTGGCGTAAGTATTCCAATATTAGCAAAATATTTATGAAACCTTAATTGGTCTGTCTAATCTGCAAGGTAGAACATAACATTTACTAAATATTCATTGTGGTTTATTTGCAATTTAAAATAACTAGTAGTTTCTAATAATTATTTCATCTTTATAGGCCCAACAAGATGGTGGTGTATCATCGTATCTAGAAGATAATAGGGTTCCTGTATTGTTCCTCTTCATGTTAATATTGCAGTTCATGCTTATTGTAATTGATCGTGGTATCTACCTCAGGAAGAACATTTTGGCCAAAATCATATTCCAGTTCCTACAAATCATTCTATTACATATTTGGTTGTTCATCGTTTTCCCTGTCATTACAGGAAGGTAAGTATAATCTAATGCTTTTTGACTTATTCCTAATATTTTTGTTAATTTATTTCCTTTTCAATTGACAAATTAAGAGTATACGATTTCAAAGAAGCAAATCAGCTGCATTAAATCAAACGCTTCGTAACATTTGGATTGCTCTTTATGAAATAGTTTATAGAGGATTCTTTATACTGAAGTAGTCACGTCGACAGAAACCTTAATTCCGTGGCACCGCGACTGCGTTTAGGAACATGAAGACGTCTAGTCAATCTGATTTTTGGACTCCCTAAGTTAGTAGAACTGAAAAAAACCCATCAGGAAAACTGTTCCATAATATCGACACCTAGGAACGAAGGAGCGGTCATACCGACCAGTTATCGATGTACGAGTTTCCACAGGGTTGGGATGGGAGGCAGATACTAATTTTCTAAATATTGTTAAGCAGGAGTGGTGAAGGCGGTGGCAGGCTTAATAATACTTCAAGAATAGGTTATTAAAGAGCGCGGGGAATCGGGAGGCTAGAAATGTGTAAACGTGAATAAAATGATCGAGTTCATTGGTATGCAGGTTGAATTGAGAATGATCGGATTCACAAAATTATCATACATTTAGGTATTAGCGTTCAACAGTACAGTACTTGGAAATATCTTATAAAAACGGTAATTATCGAAGTGCGGAAGTGCTTGCCAAGATCTTTGGTGCCAACTCCACCATGGACGTCCCCCAATGCACAAGTGCCGTCAATTCAAAGGGTTCCCTACACTATGCGGGAAGTAACATTCAGGCATAAGATCGTAAGACGGCTGCTCTTGTCGCTCGACATCAACAAAGCTTCTGGTTCGGACTTGATTCTTGCCATTGTACTGTAAATGTGTGCGGTGGAGTTTGCTCCAGTTCTTTCTCGCTTCTTCCAGATATCTTATGAATTGGACACCTTCCCAGAAAACTGGAAATTTGCTGTCCAAACTATCCCAAAAACGGGATCTAAGACCGACCCTCACAACTTCAGGCCTATAGCTTTCTATTATAAGTAAGGTGATGGAGAGGTGCATAAATCGCGAGCATCTGGACTACCTCGAACGTCACAGCTTGATTAGCGACAGACGGTATGGTTTCCGGCCCAGCGATCCACAGGGGACCTCCTAGCTTACGTCACGCAATTGTGGAGTAAACTCATCCAGTCTTATGATGAGGCTCATGTCTTTGCTCTTGATATCACAAAGGTGTTAGATCAGCTGTGGCACGCTGCCCTCTTATGCAAACTTCCATCCTATGGCTTCCCAGAAAAGTTTTGGAGATGGGAGGCTGACCTGTTCTCTGGCCGCAAGATATCCGTCGTAATTGACGGGTTCTCCTCTTCAGCCAAAGTCAACGCCGGTCTTGGTTCCGACACTGTTCCTCTTACATATCAACGACCTCCTTTCCTACACAATCAACCCAATCGCTGATGACAGCACTCTACATGCAGGAATTCAGAGTGATCTCTGATCTCTGCCGCTGAGCTGGAAAAAAGAAGACTAGCGACGACTTCCTCTGTGACGAGAGATCTGGAGGTTATTACTGCTTGGGGACGTAACAATCTTGTACAGTTTGATGTTTCCAAAATTCAGTACTGTACTGGTTGCCAACGTACAGCTCGACCAAACTGTTTTCACTATTCTCGAAATATCAAACTTTTAATATTTTAGAGCAACTCAGTAGTAGTTTGCGCTCTTCATATATAAATTACTATCAACAATTTTGATTATGATTATTTAATGTTGAAGTGATCTGTGACATTAATTTGATTTCTCTATGACCAGTTTGTTTTACTGCTTATAGTCGGGCATGTAAAGAAGGCGTTTGCTAGTGACTGATCGAAATTGGCAGATTTACTTCCATGGAGTAACAAAGCAGCGAAATTGCACGCTAAGCACTAGTTTAGTACCCCTTATGAGCGTTGTCATGCTAACTCGGGAAAATGCAACGTCCTATATTCCTGTTTTTTGCAGTTCCTAATAACTGTCTTACCTGTGTTCTGGTACGTTTGGTATGAACTTGGAATTGCTTAAACACTTTTTTTTATCGCAAATGTCAGACTTCATATTATACAACATATGATATAATATCTATTCATTCAATTCCTACTATTGCAATAGCTGCGACGTGTGAATCCCTTTTGTTGATCTTCAACTTTCCTGACAATCACAGAAGGTCTTACTCCACACAATGTAATCCTGGACAGGCCAAGCTAAAAGGATACTTGAAAAAGATTGCTAATTTGTCATTGTAGTTGAGGAGCTGAGGGGTGTTGATTAAACGTATTTAAAACATAACTAACCAGCCTGAATTTGATTGAAGTTATACATAACAAATTATGTGTGCACCATATTTTTGTATTTTGTTCTTTTATACGCAAAGTGAAGTTAATTAACACTTAGGTCGAGCTCGGCTATTCAACTCTGTGCACTCCGAGTCTCTCCTTGTGTCAGTTCACATAGCTATATGGCGTGAGTCGAGATGTTTGGATTGCATGGAGTTGTGTATCCGGATATAGTAGTTAATGTAATGTAATATTTTTCCAGCAAATGCAACACCGTGCTCCCACCCCAGATCTACTACATGGTGAAATGCTTCTATCTTCTTCTCTCCGCGTATCAAATCCGCTGCGGCTATCCGACCCGCATTCTAGGGAACTTCCTGTGCAAAGGCTACGGCTACGTGAATATGTTCTGCTTCAGGGGATTCATGTTGGTTCCTTTCCTGTTTGAGTTGAGAACTTGCATGGATTGGATGTGGACGGAAACGTCCATGACGGTTTTCGACTGGATTAAGATGGAGGACATATTCGCACATATATTCCTACTGAAGGTGAGTGCGCTGTGTTCCTGCATATTTTACTTATTCTTCAATTATATTTGTGTAAGACATGTTTATAGTCGATAACACTGAATAGTTCGCCACCTAAATCTGGCTTAAACTCCTCTTATTCCCATGATTGTGTTGTGTCTACATGTTGTATTTTCGTTTATAAATGTGGTGTAAATATGTTTTTGCGAAAAAATATAAAAATAATGATTTTCCTAATGCTGGCCCTATACAGGGTGTTTCAAAGTCGACCCTCAACATTGGGATCTCGGAAACTGTAAGGGATATGAAGTCGCTTAAATGGGGGAAAAGTTGCGTATTTGTGTAATTAACAAAATGCCGCTTAGACAATTTCGAAATTCAAAGTACTTCCGGAAAGAGAGAAAAATTTAAAATTTTTACTGACTTTAATAGTAGTGGGATTTCAAAATGAATTGGACATTCACATTGGCACTTTTTCTCCTCTACAAAATGGCATCATTAGAATTCTAGTATGACGTTTCGCCTCTTCACCTACAGCGTTAACTTTATTTTTTCTTATGGACGCCATATTGGATTTTTGTGCAAATGAATAGTTTTTGATTCTAATTTCAGAAATGTATAATGCATCATACATTGACATCTCCAACCCTTAGTTATTCCAGAAAACAGAATTTCCTAGGCCTTGAAATTATCAGATTTCATTTGTTTCGTTTCGACCTCAAATCGAACATAATAAGCAGAGTTTGGAAGACTGAGAAGAAGAGAAATAAATCGAGCAGTGAACAATCTACAGAGAAGAGTCAGGCTTTGTCTACAAAATAACGGACATTTTGAACATTTGCTATGATTTATCACTGCTTAGTTATTATTATTTTTGTTATTACCAGCAATAAAATTTTCATATTGGGTTCAGGTTTGACCATACCTTTTTATTTCTTTATAATTTTCATCCAACAACAAATTCATGGCCAGGAAATACATCCTGTATCTAGGACTGAAAAGTCCATTCAAATGAACCAAATTCCAATATAGCATTTATAAGAAAAAACAAAGTTGCTGAAGGAAGTCGAAAGAAAAAATGTCGAATAAAAAATTTGACTACGCCATCTGGTAGAGAGAATAAGTAACATTGACGGCATGCAATTTGTTTTGAAATCTTATCTTAAATAAAGTCGGGAAAAAATAAAAGTGATTACGAGATAAATCTGGCATGCGAAATGAACTATCTCATAATTTCAAGGCATACCTACAAAATTCTGCCTTTTTTGGAATATTTAAGATTTAGATATTTCAACGTATTATGTAAATGTGTAAAATTTTTAAAAGTCCAATATGGCGTTCATAAGAAAAAATAATGTTGATGCTGGAGGACAAGAGACGAAACTTCATATAGGTTTTAATAGTCATATATAAAAAACTAGTGAACTATATGAACTAAAAACATTTAGTTTGAGCTTATTGCTTTTCTTCCGTCTGACCTTCATGGTCTATGCTTGGTCTCACGTGGAACAACGAACGAAAGCATAGCGACTATCTTGTACCCGAGGTATGAAATCTAACAAAATAATGGTGTTTTCAAAATAGTGTTGTGGTTCGATAAACTAAATATATGGAAATAAGCCAGCACAATGACTATTATCTATTACCAGAATCGACCACTGCATGAGTGAACAGCAGCTATCGATTGAAACTGTAAAGATCTTAGTGCCCGTTTGACAGCCCAATCACCACTGTGGTCGGTAGTAGTACGTTTACTTGTTCAATAGCGAGTACCACATCTACTATATCGCCAGAATCGTCAACCTCTAGCGGCCACATTGCTGACTGGACTGTCAACCGTGAACTGAGATCTTTACGGTTCCAACCACAGAACACAATACTGAAGAAGTGGGAGCTCCACGTTGAACGGTGGTAACAACGTTGACATTTGTCCGACGATGGCGCCGCCTACTTGACTGAAGATCTGAAGGAAATTTCGAGAATACGCTGGGAAATAAGGAATGATAGAATCTTCCGGGGATTTGGTTTGTTTACAATTGAAAATCTACTGAAAATAATATTTCCGATATTAAACGAAGATTTCATGAACTTAGGCCCGTATCGTCAGTCGTCCCTACAGTTGTAGGGCGCGTTTATGGCCTCCTTGATTGTCATCCTCCTTTCTCTCTGTCAAAAATTTCTAGATTACACTTGTCCCGTGTCAGCGTCAGCGCTCTCCTATTGTGAAGATATGTTTTCTTTTTAAATTGTAGGAAATTTCAGGCTGACCAAACATGATATAACTCAAAAGCAAGCACAATTTGATGCAAATAGATGTTTGTGACATAACCTCAAAATAGAGTTCTGACACGGAGAAGCAGAAAACTATGACAATCAAGGAGGCCATAAACGCGCCCTACAATTGTAGGGACGACTGACGATACGGGCCTTAGATGCTTAAAATATACTCATTGAAGGAAATGAATAATATTCACCTTACATTGACAATACATAGAAGTATTTTTAGACATCTGGAATTTTCTCTATATTATTAACTGAGCGTTAAAAAAATGCAAACCTTTCATTAGTAACATACAAAACAAAGGAACTGATACTCAGTATGATGCCAGATGATTTACCACTGAAACGTGAACCTAAATACTAAAACAACAAAAAATAAATCTCTATAGTTAAATGAATAACTGAAATAAAAATCTAATCTCTTCGATAAAACAAATTTGCACCCATGATTACTGAATAAAAAATAGCGTCAAGTAGTTTGACTCTATACTTCGCACGCCTTCGAAACAACTTCTGGTTCAATTTTCCCTGTAGTGCAATGACATCAAATATACGTAGGTTTTATCAGAACCAGTAATGCACTATTTGGGCATTTAATGAAACAAAAAAATGCTCAGAAAGAAGCAATGAGCTTATCCGAACACAGGAGTATCATTTCTTTGGAGATTTGGTGTAAAACAGTTTCAAGGGAATACATAAATAATATAATATAAAGAACTAATATAATAAAAATTTTCAAAAATGATCAGCAGCCTCTGAAACTTCAAAAAATGAGGTATGAGCGATTTCTATTTTTTTAGATTTTAAAAAAGCTATAATTTTAAAGAGTGCAGGAATACTTTTTTTAATTCAATTTCCGATGAGTGTTCTGTACCGCCCTACTGCTTTAAAAATCAATGCAGCTATCCATTCCGAATGCCAATAAGGTTAATGAAATGTTCACTTGCATACTTCAATCGCTTTTCCTCATCATGTTCTTTAAACGTCACAAAATTATGTTTTTCAGTGTCAACTGATGAAAATATCCTTGCACAAGATTCACAATTGCCATCAATTTTGAGTTTGTCCAAAATGTACCCAGCTACATGACCGTTTAAACTTAGAAACTCAGGGTGTAAATTGAGGGCTACTTTGGTCGTATTTATCCAAAAAATTCACTACAATCGACGACAATATAAAAAAAAACATTTTCACAGTTAACCTTAAGAAAAAGGTGTGCTGATATTATTAATGACTACTGATTTTAAGGTAGAAACAAACAAGCTGATGCCAGGTGGGATTTGTGTTGAACAGATCATGCTGTCTTTTTTTACATTTTCAGGTGTGGTTTTTATTTAAATTTTTCAAACAAAGCCCTTCTGATAAAGATCCCTGAATGTGGCATAACAGATTTGTTATTTTCTAGCCTTCAACAAATTTGAACTAGGATGATTTGTCAACCCCCAATGTTTGGTTATAAGTTATAACCATAACCTCCTATATTCATGTAATACAACATTTTAACTAACTAGGGCAAATTCGAGGCATAGATTTAGATTACGCAACGCTTTAACGAAGACTACAGAAATTACAATGAAGATACCTGATGCGTTCTGAAGAGAATGGATAGTTTTCAGTACAAGCAATTTAGGAGAAATTTATCGATATTTTCATGTAATACAATTTTTATATAATTGATAAATATATTTGTATCGTGATTAGGTATTAAAAATAAACATATATTTTTATAATACTACATACACACTGCCTTTAAGTAGGTAAATTTGGATAAATAAGATTTCACGCAGACATGCCTCTAGCATAACTTATGATAACATTATTCCTTCATCTGTAGAAGTTTCCAGGAAGTGCAATAAGAACAGAAACCTAATTATTCTCTTATGCATAAAAACGATGTGTTGAGCCTTAACAGATGATATTAGAGTAGTAGGCATTTAACATGTCTTTATTCATTGTATTTTCAAAGTTTCGTTGAGCAGAAAATGCTGAATAGGGTACGTATTTGTTGAAAATAATAAATAAATTTGGTTGATTTCTTATTATAGATTATTTCTTAAATACGCTTCATATTATAAAATTCAACAGGCCTAGAAAGCTTGCCATTTATGGTTATATAGATTCCCTCCAGCTAAATAGTTGGCACCATCATCTAGCAAACGAGGAACTCCCATACACTTAGATTACAGAAACAGTACCTGTTAAAAGTGTTGCCCTTGCACGCGTTTTTTGATATCAAGAACGTATCTAAACGGTATAAATAGCTACCTACCACGTTATCTATGGAGAATTTCAGTCCAATTTTTGTATTTTTTGTTGTTATCCTTATATACGGCAACGCTAGAAGGGATATTTTGACAAATGACATATGACAATGAGAGATTTTGTTTCGGGGTTTGTTCGAGGTTTCATGAGATGAACACAAGAGCATGATTTGCTTTTTCCTTGCTGCGTCCAAGTATCGTTTGTTCTTTCACTTCACAATGCAGTCCAGAACTAAGAAACATTTGATCAAAGATTAGAGTAGTATTAGGTTCAGCTCATCCATTTTTACAACTCTTGTTTTCGAATATTCTAAAACAGGTGTAATTATGCCACATTCGAAAGAAATTAATTGTGTAATTTACTTTAATGATCTCACTGTAATTCAAAAAAGGCATTAACATTTCTCAACTGCGAATTAATAAAACTTTTAGTAACTTCTGTAAGATTATCTTAAATATATTAAAAACAACCATCCTCATATAAACCTTTCAGTGGATAAAAATGGACTCTTTCATTTTTCAAAGTTGATCTTAATTTGGATAGCTTTGAGCAAAACTTCAGGTGGACTTGATACATGATTGATTCTGTAAAGAAACTAGATTCGACGCTCCTAGCCGCAGAGTATCTAAATACAGGCGTAGGTTAGCGTCAACGCTTGTATTAAAATACTAGACGTTTCCATTGTCTGTGCAGTTGGTCCAGTCTTCCGGTACGTTCAGGCGTCTATTGATGTCTACCTTATGATAACGACATGGAATTAGAAATAATTTAACACAGATCTTTTTATTAATGACATTTAAAAGTAGACTGTGATTTGGGACATGCATTCGTTATAATCAAGACCGCAAAAACGTCCTATTTTTTAGCAAATTCGTTGATACCGAAGAAAAAAAAAGAAAATATTAGGTCGCGTCGTTTGTTATAAATACTGTATTTGTAAATGTTGTATTTGTAATTAATGAGTACATTAAATACAATAATTCAAATCATACCTCCTGTTATTCAACAATTTCATTAACATTCTGAAGTAGTTGAAAAAGATCGGCACATACTTTTAGAAAGTCAATTCCTTAAAGTCCGAGTGAAGCGTCCTCCTTTTCTATGTCGTTTCATTGTTAATCATCTTAAACAAACATAAAAAGACTCTTCCACATTTATACGTTGACTAAACACAATAAACTGATACTCGATTACCTAGTGCCACTCGATATAATATTTGTATGCATGTCATCTGAACACCGTCACAACAAATCCGTGCTGCCTCATCTGAACTAAGACTAAAACTCTAGGTATTGAACTGTGCCCTGATTCAGTATGATGACTATTATCTGCATTTAAAGCTGTATTGGGCGACGCTGGTTCGATCAAACTTCGAAAAATCCTCCTCACATACATAATAATTGGAAACTTATGAGTGGAAGATACCTTGCAAGCTGCCTTCCATGCAGCAACAGTTTTTACATTGTTTGGAAAACAGTGGAACATTTTATTTTTGTAATCACAAGTAGATTTCTGAACAATTTGGAAATAGGAATTTTTGCAAGCAGGATACTTGCATGAGTACTTTAAAGTACCGATGTACTAAGACACAACCCCAAATCTAGACATAATTGATTTGATTAAATTTTACAAAATAAAAACAAGCTTATTGAAGTAACATCTGAAACTTATTCTGTGATTTTCATGTCAATAATCCCCCATGTTTGTCTGGCCAATGAAACCACAGGAATTTTTAATTCTTCTGTAATGTCGTTTCGGCCACAACGCTGAACTTCAGGGCTGTGTTCGTAAATTGTTTGACGTGCCTGTTACATGCGTTTGGAAATAGAACAAAGTAATCCTTCTGGAACGGTAAAAGTGTTCTGACACTGTTCATTGTCATTGTTCAGTGTTTGTTTATTTTATTTGATTATCAAAAACTGCTCAACATTAGCAGAATATATTTTCATATCGATAGCGTTTCTTATAATATAAAAATGGTCGCAGAAAACTTGGTTAGAAAGTAGTGAGATGTCATCAAGTGTCATTAGAGTAATTAAGGGGTTCTAAAAATAAACTTCCACAGTACTCGAGACTAAAATTTCATCTGTCAATCTACATTTCATTATTGTGTTACATTACCAATAAATAATACTTGTTTGGCAATATTTTATTACATACATACATTAAAGAAGACTTTCAAATACATGTGGTGTCATTGGCCAGACCAACATGGGGAATTAACCTTATTGAAGTATGCAAACAATAGTATTGCCGCCTAGTGACAAATGTTTTACATGGAAAAATATGTGGTAAATGAGATTATTAATATCATTATATGATTAATGTGAACGACTTAGAAGAATACTTTAACTATACAGCTTACTTGGTTAAGAATAGTTTCGAAAAGACGAGCGAAAGTCAGTCTACCACTTTTCAAAATTCAAGCTTCAATGACTATGGTGTTCCAGTGCCAGTTTGCCCATACCTGATGTTCACTCTAGTAGAAGCCGATTCTTGTAATATGGCACTTTAATAGATTTGATACCTCGGATAGATGATAATTGCTATGTTCGTTGTCCGACATGAGACCAAGCTTAGACCATGCTGATGAGTTGCCAAAAAGCACGAAACAGCTGTCCATAGTTGGCTGTATGCGGTCGAATGGACACGAAAGCAGTATCTTCAGTTGTTTAATGACGGGTAGATCACATCTACTATTCCAAAAGAATCGGCAGCCCCTAGCGGTCACGGTGGTAACTGGATTGTCAAACGTAAACTGTAAACAGTTCCAACCCACAGTGTCTGTTTACTCTCGCAGTGGTCGATCGTTATGACTGTAGGAGTGTACCGTTTACGTTATTTTTTTGAATGCGATTTGTATACTAACAGCTCGGCTTACCTATAGGACGGGTTAAATACTAACGTACATTATCGCAATCATCGGCTGGTTGGCAAGGCCGGTTTCTGTATAGTATATTTTTTTAACCTGATATCTCGGTTATCTTAAGTTTTTGGTGCATGCTTTATAAGGGAAATTTACTCATTTCTACAAAATACGCCGTATCCCAACTTTAAGAGCACCCTGTATATACGTTTTGCTAAAACGATTTAAATTAATACTGGCGACGTACCTCCGTATACACATAGTAAGTGAGCGATTTAGCAGCTCTACATTCTAACGATCTCCAGATTTCATAAACCCAGGGTTCAAGTGAAATTTATAACAAAGTTCGTTAATAGTGCAAAACGCTGCAAACTGCCAGCCTATGCAAATACGATTGATTTCAATTGAAAAGTATGATTTGTTGGCGAGATTTTGATACATCCAAAAAATAACCTTCTAAAAAGTATTTTTTTTTGCGGTATTAGATTGGTCACGTTACTACGGCACCTGGTCTGTTGGAATCAAGATATTAAACTTTATTTCAAGGTATAATTATTATTTATTCTTCTATTCGTTGCTTGAGAATGATCGATCTTCTCTATAGCAAAAATATGAGGTTGAATTGAACTATTAAATATCATCCTAGGGATTCAATCAGTTTGAAATAATTATAATTTTGGGCTGCTGGAAGTTGATCAAAGATGTTAGTGATGATTCAGAAGTAAGACAAGATGCAACGTCGTAGTTAGTAAAGACATCGTATTATCTACTTGCACATCAAAAACTGCAGGAGGGGCATTATCCTGTTATAATATGGCACTTTTTGACTCTCAAACTTGGAAGAGTGAGCTTTTAAAGATGCTGCTGTGACTTGAGTACTAAAAGATCTTAGCTTTGTAGAATGTAAATGCAGCTCTAATGAGTGTGCTGTGAGAACGTATCATCCTGTTCACATCATTTGGAAAACTGTGTCTCGTTATCCATATCTATTATATTATGGAAATATTTTAGTATTTAGTATTGTTATAATTTATCACCAAAGAAACTAACTGTAACTGTTTGTTTCCGAGTGCATGTTTTTGTGGAAAATAATAATTTCGGGTAAACATTCTATCAAATTTTTTATCATAATTCCTCAGTGTCAACGTCATGCAGAAGACGAGTTCCCACAACCGCGGGGCGAGAAGAAAAACCCAATTCCCAAATATCTTATGGGTGGTGCTATGTTGGCAGTCATTATTGGCATTATTTGGTTCCCTCTGGTATTCTTCTCCCTTGGAAATGCTGTAGGAGAGACGAATGTTCCATATGACGTGACACTCGAGATCAGAATTGGACCCTACGAACCAATTTATAGGATGTCTGCACAAAGTAATTCTATTTATTCGTAAGTATTTCTCTACTGTATAGATTATTGTGTATTCAATCATGTTCTGCCTTCGCGGCCCAACTATGCCAATGCATGCCAATGCCAACATGTGGAAGTCATGGAATGCTGGTTTTAAATATCCGAAAGCATCTCAATAGGGTATTTTCCTGGGTAATGTTCAGTTGACAGTTACGGTCTTATCAACATTATATGTAGTTGAGTATTACATTTAGTGCTGCGGTATAAATCAAGATTCTAGTAGTGCGTGATCGACAGGTGTTCCTTGAAATTTTCAAATTGGAAATTTTCCATCGAGGACAGTATGATATGCATTACAGTCGTTCGTGTTTACCACGGTGAAATGATGGCTTACTCATTCATGGAAGTTAGAAAATGAAATCTTATGATCTGTGCTACTTTTTCTTATTGTAACAGGAATGAATGGTACTATTAGCGCCATCTGTTGGGAGTCGCGCTAGGGACTCTCCTTCAGTGCAAGACTGAGACCGAGTGGTACTACTAGCGACATATGTTGGGAACCGCGCCAGGGACTCTCCTTCGAGATCGACGCGAAGTGACGTCGAAGGTTCTGGACTGTCGCTATGTGGCTTACCGGACCTTTATCGAACTAATAATATATAAGCCGATGGCCGGGAGAGGGAAGCAGAGTTGAGTGAATGGCGCGACATAATAATTTGTAAATAAGTAGTCAGACATAAATGGTGGTGCACATAAATGTTCTATCTAGTTAAGTTAAAGTTAGTTGTGTTGTGTTTTAAAGTTAGTGCATTTCTTTTTGTGGAATCCATTGTTTTAACCCACAAACAAAAGAACTCAGGAAAACGCTACATTATATTGATTCGGTAACTATGTGATACTAATTCTGTTGAATTGCCGGATTCGAATTAGTGTACAAGTCGCGTTCCTGAATCCGCACACACATCACTGATAACTTGAATTGAACGCATTGAAATTTGTTCTATACATGTGAAAAATTAGATCTTATTTTATAAAAAATAGACGTTCACAAGAAGTTAGAATTGCTAAATTGTTTTAAGTTTTACGAATGCAGTTTTCCATTTCTATTTCATTTGACCAAAGTAAACATTCTTTCAGCAAAAGTCTGGGGTTGCTTTTTTCATCATAATTTCACAAGCTTATTGGTTTCGAAAAATATTTATTTGTACTTTGAAGATGAAGTTAATGATATGCTATATGTTTTTCATTGTTGCAGTTGTTGTCCAGCGAGATTATATGGATAAAAATAGAATCCATTTTCATCCAGCCATGTGTTTATTTTTCAGTTTCAAGCCCCATCAGCTGGATCAGTTGAGAATGATTTACAACAATATTAAGAGCTCTGGAACGTTTATAAATAACTACGAAGCTGCTGATATTGCAGCAGTGAAGTTGAGCATAGATTCTGGGAATATTTGGGGAATTTCTCCGCCTGATCGCAAAAGGATGGTTGCTGAAATCAACTCAAGTAAGCACGTATATTGATATAGGAAAGTATTCTGCATCTGAATTTAGTTTATAGATGGTTTGCAGGGCCGTATGCTCCGCTGTTCGATTTTCATCCGACGGCGCGCATGACGTCACGCGGAGAGTGATTATCATTTGGGTTGATATGGATAACGTGCATATTTTCACCTACAGGCCAAACGGCTGGATGGATTTTCGAATATGAGGTGTCGTTGGATTCGTCTTAGCGGGGCGAGTGACACTAGCTACATTGAAATTTTATAAAAAAATGGTAGATTTTAATTAAAGATTTCAACCTTGTAATTCCTACTTCATAGGCTACAGATCAAACGGCTTGATATATTTTCACATATGAGGTGTCGTCGGATTCGTCTTAGCGGTGCGAGTGACACTAGCTACATTGAATTTTATAAAAAACAAAATGGTGGATTTTAATAAAAGATTTCAACCTTGTAATGCCTACTTCATAGGTTACAGATCAAACGGCTTGATAGATTTTCACATATGAGGTGTCGTTGGATTCGTCTTAGCGGTGCGAGTGACACTGGCTACATTAAAATTTTATACAAAACAAAATGGTGGATTTTAATAAAAGATTTCAACCCTGTAATTCCTATTTCACATTCTAAGTACATGTAAGTGGGAAAATGTACGCAACTAGAAAAGTAGAAAAATGGAGTCATCTTCTTTTTGCAGTAAGGTGGTGGTATAACAATAAATGTAAATGACTTAGTCTAAGCAACAATTTTTTTCCATTTCCTTTTACGATTTTTGTGGTCTGTCAAACTTTTATTCAATTACTTGATCCGGAAGAACATCCTTGACCTGAAAAACAGTTTTTTTTAACTTTTTCAGGGCAGTCAATGTTGCTGCTCTTCAACAGAAGTTCACCTATAAAATTTTGCTTTTTGTCCCTATTCCGTCCCCATTGAATGTAGTGAATACCTTGTTCAGCTTCTCAATTTGAGTCATGACAGTTGCGGAAGGTTTTGATAATCCACCCTCACTAAGATGGTCTATCCCTGAATAAGTTTCATTTGAGGAAGTTTTCAACCTCTCATCCTGCAATTTATTGCAAACAAAGCCGGCCAAATTTTCCAGCCCGTCATACTCGAGCTCATCTACGTCTTCCACTAAAACTTGCGCGGTATAGTCAGCTGATACTTCAGGTGCATTCAGTTTATTCTCGTTAATGGTGCGGTTACTGGTTAGTGGAATGTCGGGAGTATCATCTGACACTACGCTGCAATATGTACTCTGAGTATGCGCCTTCGTTTCCCCCAACATATATGACCTCATTCTATACTTAAACTCTAGAGGACTTGTATGGTCATGAAGACCATCTTTTGCACTAATTACTCCGAAAAAGTTTTCTATCACATCTTGATTAAGACGTCTTGTTAACAGGTATTGGACGCTGAAGCGTCGTTTCAGATCCCTTAGAGCATTTTCTAGCAAACCCTAGCGCTTTTTACATTGACTTTGTCTTAACTTTTTGTGAGATGTAGCCATTTTTTTTTGCTAAAGTTTGGGTCTTGAGGAAACTGTGAAACTTCATGTCTTTGCAAAGATTCCGTTTAGATTGATTGTCGGAATTACATCCCACAACAGCACACCGCATTTTTATCAATTTATCAACGACACAGGGTATATAAGGTATGTATAACTAATACAACAAGTCACAAAACCACCAAAAAACACCAACAAATCACACTATATAGTATTAACCACGATACACGTGAACTGCAGTAACGCTACGACAATCCTGCCGCTGGTAACCACGAGCCGATAACTCTCCGGGTGACGTCACGAAGCTCCGCCCATATGCGCAATATCCTATCTTCAGTGTATGTGTATCGTGGATGGTTTCTATTTGACCTCATATGCATGAGAGTGGATTGCTATGATCCAACACTGACCAACTTGCGAAATGGTATTTGATGACTGTTGTTGACAGTTAAACAAGTGATTTTAGCAAAATATGTTTACTAGCTTTCTTTCCACGGCTTTATATACGTGGATCTCGTTTTTATCGTAAAAATTAGGTTGTTGCGAGAAACTTTAGTATTTAGTACTAAAGCAAGTTGGTACTGATTTAAAATATTCTAATTGTTTTGAGTATTTTGTTAAAAAAATATATACATATTGCGTCTCATCTCCAGCGCCATTTAAAGATAAACGGAATTATCAAAAAACCTAACCCTCGCAACGTACGCTATTACGAGTTACATTCACCGACCAACCAACAATGACAACGAACAAAAACCAGGAACTCAAACGACCGATACCAATACTCAATGAATTTTCTTTTTCCGATATTTCTAGAAAACACGACGATAGGGGATTTAATTTCCTACATCTTTTAAGTGTTATTAGAACTGAACAATACTTTTTATATCGGTAGAACCTAAAGCAACTAAACTTAGTTGAGTGAAATTAAAACGTATACTTTCACTAACTGAAAGTGTAATAAGATCTTTAGATACTGAATAGCTTTGGGAAACTCATCCCATGTTGGTGTGAAATATGAGGTGGCGAATTGTTTGAAGTTTTTAATCCTTTCAATGGATTTACTTGAAGCTATATATAAATATTATTTGATAGAAATAATTAAATACGTAATCCAACATTTTGAGGAAGTTTGTATCATTTTTAATTTTTTCAATTGATTACCTGAAACTTTGTACAAATATTTTTTGCGAATAATGAAAAACGCGACATGTTATACAGTGTAAATTATGGAATGAGTACTTATCCAAAAATCATCCAGTAAAAGTGTAATGTAAAGTAGGAATTGAAATTATTTGTAGTTACTCTGCATGGATTTAATTGCATCTCATTTACAAAAATACTCCATGTTATGAACGAATATTAAGAAGAAACAGTGGAAAATTTCCACCTTTTTTCTACATTTATAGAAGTTGACTCTATTGATTTGTGATGTTGAGTATATGTGCAAAGGTTCAGAATTGAAGGAATAAACAGTTGGGTACAAACGTCCAAACCCTATTTACAAAGTTTCACGTAAATTCATTGAAATTATAAAAAGTTTCATACAAACTCTTAGGGTATAATTTATCAAAAATGTTGATTGTCGTATTTTTTTATAGGTATTGTTGAGCATCTGCACAAGGTTTTATTTGAATCCGTGGGAAGAATAAAAAATTTGGTACAAACTCCCACTCCTTTTTTCACCACCCCAGGGGATGACTTTTCTAAAATCCTTCTCATTCCTTACTTACGCATTATGAGGAACCTCTATGAAAAATGTCTATCTTCTAATTGTACATTTAAGAATTTCGGCTCAATGTTGATATGTGTCAATGAGTGTGTCCTTTTCTTTATATAGTTTTCACACATTCAGGGGATGAACTTGCAAAAAGTGTTTGTACAGAGTTTCAGGTAAATCCACTGAAATAATAAAAAGTTTTATGTACCTCCACTCCTCTATTTCACCCCCTTAAAAGATAAATTTTCGAAAATCTCCTTAGTTCTAACTTACGCCTTATGCAAAATTACAAGTTTTTACGTTCCGCGGTTTCCGCTCTGGGTTGACATACCAGTCAGTGAGTGAGTCAGCGTCTCCTTTTACATATAAAAATGTCACTCCTTTAGAGGATGAATTTCCAAAAATGTTGATTATGTGTATTGCAGAATACTTGTGCAGAGTTTCAAATAAATCCATCGTAAGAATAAAGAGTTTCATACAAACCCCCACCTCCCTATTTGATCCCCTTAAGGGATGAATTTGCAAATATCCCATCTTAGATGGTATGCAGTTTCTTATGATAACTCAAACCGCTGTTGTAGCGATTTTAAGTTTGAAAGGACATCTTTTGAAAACCAACACGGTAAAGGGGTCAAATGTAATGGTGCTTCTAAAGGGCCAATATTTTTCGTCCGGGCATCTTTGACATTTCAAACCTATTTTGATTTAGTGCTGTCAAGTTACCAAATTATTGGAATCCTACTTAATATAATGTGATTAATGTAATAAGGTGCAGGTTGCGTCCAATTTCGTCAGTCATTCTTGCCTGATTTTGTAGTCCTTCTGAAGAGAAATTCTTATCTGGCATATTTCTAAACATTGCAGATAATATTGACAAGATATCGTCGAGACATGGCTGATATATCCGAGATATATAACCGTACCACAAATATTGCGCATTTAGATGCTCCACAATGGTATCTACTGACTAAAACGTTAAATAAATTCAAACTTAATCTGAAAATTGACAGATGCTTTAAAGGAAAACGTTGGGAAAGTTAATAAGCGGTGTATTGCTTCATCATTGCGCCAAGCGCGCTTTGAGTTGGTAGATTACCCGCAGCATTCGTCGGTTCCGGCTCCCTAGTAATTTTATATTCCCGAAATTAAAACAACGTTTATGAAAAAGAAATTTTTAAGTAAGCAACACGTGATAACAGCAATAGAGGAGCGTTTTTCAGCAGTCTGCCAATATCTTACCGAGAGGATATTGAAATGTTAAAGCACCGTCTAAATAAGAGCATTGATGTTAGAAAAAATTGAATGTAAAAATCAAACTCATAAATATAGCATATGCTCGTTCGTGACTCAAAATTGATTTCTTTAGTGATTTGTAGGGTTGTTCTGTTGCACAGAGTTTCAGCTAAAATGTCATCTTACAAAGCAAGGTTATTAACCAGCGCACTGTGCATTGATATATGTTTTTTTTAGATGTTACATGACATGTAAATCACAAATAACCATGTCATTCAATTCCATCGGCTTGTCTGTCTATCTGCCTGCTAATCGTTGACACCTTTATGATTTGGAAAGTACTTCCTGGATATTGATGAAATTTTCACAACTATGTCAAGAACGATAAAATTTTGTAGGTTAAGAAAATCGGTTCAGCGTCCATTTTTATAAAAAAACTTTGTAGGTGTTAAGAATTCTGTGTTGTAAGAGGTGGGTTTCTTGACGTGACTATGTTTATACGTTTTCAACCCTGGTAATTCACTACACCTATTAGAAGCATTTCACACATCAGATTTCCCCGTACATTTGTTCTTCCGATGTCTTACCGATGAGTGTCGTGGCGCCATTGCTGTGATGCCGAGTCTGACGGCTGAATTCATCGATCGGTGAGGTGTGGAGGCGAGGATACATTCCCAGAGGGACGATATTATCTGAAGGGCAGGGAAAAATGTCAGTGTATTAATTGTATGGGCCTGTTTGACTGACTTGAACGATTTAATTCTTCTGTTATATATAGCGTGGCTAACTTTAATCTCCGAGGGTCTAACTTGTGCCGGACATAATCATTTATAAACTAATAACTGCGTTGCGTGGAAAGTACAGAGCCAGCTTTTTCTTGTAGCTAACCCAGTACAAGTCCGCCTGGACTACAAGATTAGTCATCAAACGAGTAAACCAGAAGATACAGGAATCATTCGTAAAGGAATCGCTATAACGTTACCAGCTGAAACGGAAGATCGAACAAACCTTTTGAAGATGTTGGAAGGACAGCCAGCCGAACCAGTTTTGCTTCAATATTTGCTGCCGAAATTCATAAAAGTTACCAACAGGGGTACTGCTGAGCCTGTTCAGGAGCTTATGTTACCAAAACCAGGTAGAATGATCTTCTTGTTGAATCCAATCAAATTACGTTAAATACCTAACATTTGACAAATTAAGAGAATTGGAGCGACTACATTATGGAGAAATACAGTGATCAAATGCAATAAAATATAACAGCTATATGTTTGCGGTTTTAATAAAAATTGTACCAAAGTTCTTCAAAAACAGTGTTCGTCCTTACTTTTTATCTATAGTGCGTCCAGAGAATGGAGAATATTCCTCCAACCGCAAATAGGCTACGTCATGTCCTACTATATGGCAGAAACAACTACTAAAACAAATATTATATAGGGTGATTCACAAGTCGTAACCAAAAATGAAACATCATACACAGGTCCGCATTGTTTTCGTAAAAATAAAAAAAAAATAAAATAGATAATCAAAGCTTTATTTCAATAAATGTTCAAAAAGACCACCAGAAAGACGTATTTCCGCAAAATTTGTTGTGGCTTGAATTTGATGACACGCATTAACTATTTTTTCTGGTAACTGATCAACAGTATTAATTTGTTCAGCATACACTAGTGTTTGAAAGCACCCCATAAAAACAAATCCAGGGGGTTCAAATCAGGAGACCTCGCAGGCCAATGTACGGGTCCGTTTTTGCCAATCCATTGCAGTCTAAAATTATTATATAACCACTTTCGTTGATAACGGAACATCATCTAACACATTTTCTATCTAATTCTCTAGAAAAGCTAAGTATGAGTTTGCATTTAAACGTTGTGGCAATACGTGCATAAACAGTTGGCCATTGAAAATGCCGCACCAGACATTTCTAGAAAATCTGTTGAACTGAGTAGATTCTTACAGAACGGAGATTTTCTAACCATCAAATATGTTCATTATGAGAATTGAAGGTTCCGCTCCTCGTAAAAAGCGAGTCATCTGACCACAAAACCAAATTAATAAAATCTGCATTTTGATTATGCATTTGCAGTAACCACTCACAAAAATTTCGCCGTTGCACTTCGTCGCTGGGTTGCAGATATTGCACATTTTGCCGATAGTAACGAAATTTGCCACGCCTTTTTGTATAAATAAGAGGAAAAGGTGGAGTGATTCCTCTCCTTTTTTTGAAATTAATTAAATTACTATAAATGAAGTCTAAGGGTCTGCCAATGCAAAAACAGCTGTCTAGTGGCATGCAAGTTTAGGCCCTAGCTCAATAAAGCGGAGAGTAGGGGGGCTTAAGAGCGCCAGTGACTTGAGACGGATTAAACTACAAATCCCCGAGGTGTTAATCGGAACTTGTTTTGCTTGACTACCCACACAAAAGAAAATAATCTAACAGCAATTACGTAACCTAATTTATAGTACATGAAAGGATGTTATCAAAAAAAAAACTATCGCAGAATGACCGAGACGTTTAGCATGGTAGAGGTGCTTTAAAATGTCGTGGGCCATGGCCGTTAGACGACATGCGCGGATTCAAATCTGTGGAGAAGCAGACGCGCCACAATACAACATAACTGATTCTAGATCTGCTGTAGGCCAGTCAAATTATTTCGGTAATTTTTGTCACACTTCTATTTATTAAATAATTTAGTGTGGTGATACAACATAAATTAATGACAGAACGCGCCTTCTTTAACGGGACATTGAGAATGATATTCAGTACATTTGATTACCTTACGAAACGTTTTTATGGTTCATATCATCGTGGTAATCACCACTTTTCATACCTGATTTGAAGAGAAGTTCTGCATTTGGTACAAAGCCCTTTTTCCCCGCAATGCAGCACAATTAATCTTTTTCCCTTGACCAGTGGTGCTTTCAGACAGGTATTTGCCCCATCGACCCAGGACTTTGTCACTGTATGAGAGCTGTGAATGTAAGTCTCATCGCTGTATACAATGTTCCTACCTGCGAAAAGGTCTCCTAGGGGTACTACTGCACTAACTGGTGTTCGGCACCTAATATCCCAGAACCTGGAGGTTAAACCAATGGCGCTCACACCACAATCGCAGGAGAAAAGTGACGAAACACCTCACTGTATAAAGGAAGGTTCAATTAGTCACCTTGAAGTAGATATGTTCGTTAGAAAACCAAACCACAGAGTTTTTTTTTTCAACACAATACTGAATCACTTAGAAGGAAAGATATAATACGTGTGAAATTATACAATCAATAAACTATGAAATTTACCAAAAGAAAATCATTGAAAAGGGTTTGGCCTAGGAACACTGCACTCTAGAAAAAACACAACAGTAATTATTTGTAGCAAATTTAAGGTAAAATTCAAAAAATTGCGCGCTTCGAAAAAAAAACCATTAGCGTATTATTTTTATTTGGAAAAGTAATGGCACTAATCCCCTGTATCTCCACCACTAGTGCACGTTAATTTTAATTGAAAACTCTTGAATGTGGACAATAGTAAATCCACAAACCAAATTTTAGTTCATTCCAGTCGATGGTTTTGAAGATATTGAAAAATTGTTTTTTATTTTTAAACTTCAACACTCCGTATCTCGGCCTCGAGGAAGAAATATTACACAGAAGACCCCCCTTAAAATGAGGTCCTGTGTATGATGTTTCATTTTTGGTCACGACTTGTGAATCACCCTTCATCATAACGTGACCTATTTGCAACTGCACGATTGTCCGTCATTTTCTGGACGCCATGCATACAGATCACGGAAAAATAATGCCACACAAGTTATTATATCCTTAAATTACCAAGGAGGGACTTGCATTGATTCAATTTTTACCTTGTTTCAATGCAGTTTGATGAACTTGTACTGGATTCAGTATACTGGTTCCGCCGTTTTGAAAATATACTAATTCTGTTAACAGATTTGGAGTCAGCGACTCAAATGACTCCAGAATATAAATTTGTACATTACTCAATTGATTTTAGGATTTTGGTGCAAATTTTTGTGGATCAGTGCCAACTGATAGAAACGGTATTGAAAGAAGCCGTCTCTCTCAAGAACTGTTCAGGTTATTAAAGTCATACAACGATACTATTTTCAGCAAACTGATTAGGCTTTTGAAGAATATTGTAACAGGTTGGCCGTTGTTGCATTAATTTTCAAGTGTAATAAGCTTGTCCGTCCATGGCAATCTATATAGTATAACTTAATTGCTTTCAACGGACACCAGAGACAGATTTTTAGTAGCGTTCTTTATGGACATGCATCTTTGTATCCATAGGTCATTAAGGAACTTGCGCAATTTTTTGTATCTTATACATAAATCCACAAGATTGGCATCTTATCCTTGGACGAGTATAGAATTTAAAAAAATGATTTTTAGATGAGAAAGCAGCTTTTTTGAGAAACATCACGACAAATCTAAACAAAACCGGAGAAGAAGAATGGTGGCGAATTCGCGAAGAATGCAATGACACCAATTTTGAATTGTTTCTAAAGGACTTGCCATATCAAGACTGTTCTAACTCCATCATATTATACACATTCAATGACAAAGTATTCCCGCCTACACTTGAATTTATCTCAGGTGGAGGGTAAGTAATGATTATCTATGGCGATAAGCTGACAGTGAAAAATATGCTCAATCGCATATTGCAAAAACATATTCAGGGTGGCTCGTAAGCAATCATAGATTAAGCTCCTGAAAATAACTATATTGAGCCAAACATGTTTTAGCAAAATGTCGCTCGTTAATCAGTTACAGGGTGTCGGAGATTCATTTCCAAAATCACTATTCTCTGATTTTTTTGTGATACCAACATGAACATTTTGAGTCAGGGTTTCTAAGAATGTGGAATATACCATATATGTACCTGTATATATGATTATATTCTATTTTCAACATTATATCTAGAGGGTGCTACGTACAGGATATAACCTTGCAATTTTATGCCATAGCTTTTTAACTAGTTATGTTCTTTTATTTTTTATTATCAGTAATATTAGAGTGATGATTTTTAGTAAAAAAAAGTTACACTATATTCATTTCAGTTGAGGCAAGTGGCTGGCTCAAACACTTTGCTGATAGTAGAATATTCTATACAAAAGAAATGAACGTCGTAGCGCCCTTAGGGGACGTTTGTCGACCTATGTTTATATAAAATTTTCTTCCAAATTTTAAGCTCTAGAAACTGCTGGTAGAAGATTGCACACTTTTTTGGGAGTTTTCGGGAGTATATAGCTTATTCTGCTGATTTTCATTTCTTTGGCCGAAAACTTAAATATTATGTGTCATTTAATCATATGTATCCGGCCACATGCCAGAATACATAAGCGACTAGATGCAAACTTCAATAAAAATTATGTAATGTTACTAACAAAGTTATAGCATAAAATGGTTAGAATATAGACCGTAACCATCGCCCTCAACATACTATGTTGAAAAATGGAATATTACTCGTATATAATCGTATTATTGATTTGCAGAAACCCCCGATTTCTAATTTTCATGTTGATATAAGAAAACTTGACCTACAAAGAAAAGTTGAACTTTGACATTTCATTAACGAGCGATATTTTAGTAAGGAATATTATCATTTTCACGAGTTTAATATTAAGGGTATATTTATTACGGACCATTCTGCATATAAAATGGCCATACATTGTGGATTACTTTTCAGTATAATCGGTCTATATACCACCTTGGTGTTAGTCGCTTCACGTGTCCTGCGTGGTTTTTTTGCCGACCAATGCGGCAAAATCATGTTCGAAGACCTACCGAACGTCGATCGTGTTCTACAGCTTTGCTTGGACATTTATTTGGTGAGAGAAGCCTGCGAGTTTGCGCTTGAAGAGGATCTCTTTGCTAAACTGGTCTTCTTATTCAGGTATGTACAATGGTCCCATATACAGGGTAGCACATACTTAATGCAACAAAAAGATATTCTAGACTAAACTGATGAAAATAGTGATATTGAACTACTTACTTCTCTTCACAACTAAGAAACTAATGATGATGGATCCTTCGAAGTACTAAGAATTCCGGACGTAAACTCACTCCATTCTCAGAATGTTCGGGTGGAGGGTGGACTCGAGGGAACAACATCGATCTGTTTCGCGAACATCTGCGGCATTAACAGCAACATTGATGTTCACCACTATCTGCAGTCCAATCATACCGGCTTTTCTTGGTGGAGACCAAAATCTCCGATTCTGCACCGACTAACCATCTTTGCTTTCCAAATTACGAGGTACACTCCTACATGAGGAAGAACGGGGAAGTTGTGGCTTTGGCCCGCAGCAGTCTTAACAGCTTCAGTGACATATCTTTAGAATCAGGGCAAAAGGGCATTCTGTGGTTTTTCCTCAACTGCAAAACATCCCCCAAACTTATTTCATGTTTTTATCGCTTTGGTTGGCCTTAAACAAGACCGATCCTGTTAAAGCGTTCGCTATTGCCCAAGGACTGACTCAGCTGGCGACGAGCCCTACTTCCTTCCCCCGCGTTTTCGTCACACGCCATACTGTCCCTTACAGCACTGCTGTTCCATCTCTCCTGGGTAACTAAGACCACGGTGTTGTTGAGATTAAGTTTTGGTCGGAACCGGTTGTGGCAGCAGAAATTCGCACAGGTCGGAAAATTTGGCATTACGGACCTGCCGACTGGTAAGGACTCGGACTTTCTCCACCTTTCCTTGGAGAGATGTTTGTTTCGATGACTCGGATGCGTCGGCTGCATATTCATTCGTGTTGGGTTAAAGGAATACTTTCGTCATACAGTGAAAGTGCCTAGGGTCTTGTCGTTCGATATCAACAAATCTTCTGGTCCGGTCTTGATTACTGCCGTTGTACCTGAGAGATCTGCAGTGGAGCATGCTCCAGTTTTTTTCGCGTCTCTTCAAGATTTCTAACGAATCCAGCATTTTCACAGAAAACTGAACATTTGCTTATGCCGGACCCATCCCAAAAAAGGGATCTAAGTCCTACCCTTACAACTACAGGAATATAGCTCTGCTTTCTGTTATAAAATATGATAGAGAGGTCCTTAAATCGGGAGCTTCAGGAATACCTCGAACGGCTTGATTAACTCATCCAATCTCATCCGTCGTAATTGACGGGTTCTCCTGTTTATTCCACAACATCAACGCGGGTGTTCCCCAGGGATCGGTCTTGGCTCCGATATTGTTCATTTTACGTATCAACAACCTCCTTTCCTGTAAGATCAATCCGATCCACAGCTTTTCTGTTGACAGCATCACTCTACTCGCGGGAATTCAGAGCAACACGCTGATCTGTGCCGGTGAGCTGGAGAAAAGAAGACTAGCAGCGAGTTCCTCTCTGACGAGAGTCCTGGAGGTTATCTCTACTTGGGGAACACTCTTGTACAGTTTAATGCGTCCAAAACACAGTACAGTACCTTGACTAACAAGAAGCGTCCTAGCACTCATCCGGTTTATATGGATGGCCAAGTTCTACCATTTCTAATAATTTCGGCTGGTTGGAGTCTAGATCCAGATCACCGATCACTTATTCTGACACGAACACATCTTGTCAGTAGCGGCAGCTGCTGGGAAAACGCTAGACTATTTGTTTAGGGCTAAGAAGTACTTTTCTCCACATGACCTCTTCAGTCTGTATAATGTCTATATAAGACCTGGGCTTGAGTACTGCTCACATGTTTGGGGTGCTACCTCCCCAACTACATTATCCATGTTCGATGCTACTCAGAGAAGGGCTGTCCGACTCATTGAGAACTCTTCTCTAAGGAACAGTCTCTGGACCTTTTCGCACCGGTGGGCCGTCGGCGATTTAGCTCGCATCGTACATCCAGAACTGGCCGTAAGGACCGCTTTTTTATCCCCAGAGAACCGACATTGTGTAACAGTCTACATGAGGAGGCGTTTCCTAGTTCTAGTAGCCTTAGGCTGTTCAAAAATCGGATTATCAAAGTTTCTTTAAGGTCCTCATATCAGCCGCGGTGCTTTGGCATTTGGGCTTGATCCTGCGCGGCTGTTTCGATGTAAAAAAAGGATGCTGAAGGTTAGTTATCAGAATTTTTTTCTATAGAACAGAACTGTGTTGGAACCTGATGTTTCTTAGGATCAAGAATACGATTATATTACATTTGTCAACATTGTATGTAGACGGTGCTTGAAAAAGCCTTTAATCGTGCTATTTGATTCTATAACTTTTTTGATACTACCTTTACATCACCTGTAATAATAATGAAATAAATTTGTTTCGATTGAAGACACCTTTTTTGAGATAACGTTGTATTGCACAGTTAAATGGCGGGTGCAAACACAGTCGGTTAATAATGGAATACACCTACATACATATTATATTTGTAGATCCTTTGGGCTTGAAATACCACACCAAATGGCTATGACCCTCCGCGTGGTTGTGATTAGATGTCTCCTTGAAAATTCGATGTCTTCTCGCAATTTTATACTACAATGTGTAGGTTGGTTCTTGTTGTGGACTTCGTTTGTCGTTTTTTTCCCTGACCATCTTCGTTTCCTCAGGTTACACCCGTATCCGGATGTGTGGGCATGTGTATCTACTTTTGTAGTTTCATATGTGCATTCATTTCGGGCCTGATGAAGCCAACCAGCAGAAATACGTATCGATCGGGTTACCTATCCTATTTTCTGCTCGAATCCACTTTCCTCCTTTTTGCGGATTTTGCCTATTATTTTCCTACTTTTTGTTATATACCTTTCTCCGCATGATAATTTTCTCTTTATCATATATATATATATATATATAAGAAATGACTATACATAATAACGTTCATTTCTTAGCCATATATTATTAATGGTTTGTGTTTGTCCCAGCCATTTGACTGTGCAGTAGAATGGAACGGCGCTAGCGAAATTATTATGGCATAATCACAGCACAATCGTGTTTCTTATTTCTCATCAGAAACCCATGATTCTCAGTTTTCCTTTTTACATTGACACACATTTGGAGATATGTTTACCGGAATTTTGTTTTAGAAATTATAAGATTATAGTGTTTACGTAATAAATTATGAAATCTAGCAATTAGTATTAAATTTTATTTCCAGATCACCAGAAACATTGATAAAGTGGACTCGACCTAAAGAAGAGCTAGCTGATGATGAAGATGATGAGGATCCTGAAGGTGGGGCAGGAGACCATTAGATTTAGACAAGGGATACCAATTTGAAAGAAGTCTATTAAAAAAGCTGTGAGGAGTTATTGCCCTATGACAGTTTATCTGTTGTGGCTTCCCATAGAATTTGTCTTCCCCGTGGAAAAATTTGCTACCCACCTTTCTTTCATAAAAAGTTATCTCTTGCCGTGGATCGGCCACCCTGAGAAAAATTCCTGCGGACGCCGATGCACACGATTCTTTGTTTATGAAAAAAAATTTAGGTGCGATTTCAAAACGGTGGAAACTTTAATATTTACACATGAATAAATCACTATTTACGTTATTGCACGCTAGATGTTGACATGAATAATTTACAAAAATCGGTAAAATTTTGAAAGGAAGATACCAGCAAAAATATTCATTCTGTAGCATTTTAGATTATCATAAATGATTGAAATTCTGAAATATACATATTTCTGAAGTAGTATGTATACTCGTTTGCAAATTAGTGGCACAATATAATAAAGATGACTATTTGACATTAAACTTATTTTCCCATGTAGATTAGGAGATACAGCGCGATGCCAATCAATACTCTTAGAGAAAATAGAAAACATTTCTACGTTATTGTACGTATATACGTGATTATAAGATCCAAATATGTGTTTAGGTTATGCAGGATGTTTCAAAAACATGGGGAAAAATTCAAGGATGAACTATTCTTACTGTTTTGTGTTTTGACAATTTTCAAAATACAGCTTTGTCCAGTAGATAATAGTTCCTAAAGCACGTCACTGGAAGTCGTTTTTTTTTTAAATAACTTTTAAACAACACTGTATAATCCGATGTATTTTTGGTAGTTTGGTAATTAGTCATGGCATTACGTTATGTAAATGGAAAATAACTGATTTAGTTTGCCAACAACTAACTAGCTATAATACAACGCTGCTATTTTTGCACGCTGTTTAATAGTCGCTCAAAATTTTCAGTTACTTTACCAAGTTTCAGACTGATCAACTTTTTAGCGATTTGCTGAAGTGTGAATCGATAGAAGTGACATTGAAACAAGGCTGTTTCTCATAAAAACGGTTTCTTATATTTAAATCAAACAAAAATACATTTTTTTTAAATAAAGGATCGGACTTTCCAAAAACGTTATTTTTAGGTCATTGTACAGGATTTAAAACATAGTAATATTGATTTAGAGTTAGTCCATCCCTGGTGAATTAAATGAGTTAAATGTTTACTCTGGACACAATGATGCGTAGCCTCAATGAGTTACGTTTTCAATTTTTTTTTATTATATGCTGTTAAAAAGTTATATAAGAAAAACCGATTTCCAGGGGCCTTTATCTGGGAAACAAAGCGGTATTTCAAAAATCGTCGAACGGCGAATAGTCTTACAATATTCCAAAGAATCACCCCTTGAACTTTTGCCTCATATTTGGACACACCCTGTATATGATCATTTCGAGTGTGCCTTGAGTATAGCATTAATTAAGAATGATAGAATAAATTCTAGTCAATTAATGACATCTGCTATTGCCAAATTTACTTGACAGTAAATACTTGTGATAGGTTGTTCGGACACATAATATCTATTATCCTTATTATATAATTATACGTATATCATGCTTGTCAATGTATCTATTACTGTAAAAGCCCGAACTGTGGTAGATCCTAAGATTTTCCGGTAAAACCTAAGATTTACTAACTCTCAATGGTAAAAGTCCAAACAGTTTTTTTTATTTCGAACTTTTACCACCATTCACTAGGTAAATCTTAGGATTTACCTCAAGGGCATGGTAAATATTGAAAAAGACATTTTTTACTATTAGAACTTGTATATGCTAGGTTTTACCAGTGATGGCTGGTGCATATTAGTAAAATGAGTAATTCTTCTACATATGTATTTATGAACCTTACATATGTATTTATGTGTATCATATCTTCTCACAAACATAACGCTTACGTTGGCTAATTGAATCTCACTGAATCAGTATTTTTCTTATAATTTAGTATTTACGAACAAATTGAAAAAAGACAATAGTCATTAATTATCAGGTTCTTAGTAAGAAAAATATTATTTGTTACAACATGGAGTGCTATTGTGGCATTTAGAATTAGAAAGTAATTCCGATGACTTGCAAGCGCATTTCTTCGACAAGCATTTTTTGAGACAGTTATATTTTTCGAATCCTTGTCCTCCAGTCAACGACAATTTTCCAACAACTTCTCGAAGACGCATTTCTTTCTCTTTAACAACTTCCTCTATCTTAATTAAATCTTCAGAGCATGAGGTAAACTGATTCTGTGTGCAAAGCTGCTTTAGGACTACAACATTGGTACCTAGTTGGTAAAACTCATTGTCCTTTACATCTATCAGAACTGCAATAATGCTTTTCAGGTCAGTTTTAGCTTGTCAATGTCAGGTACTTTTAGTCTTACATTTTGGCAACGTTCACATTTGGATATTTATCAGACGACTTGGCTTCCATTTTTTTCAGCTTGGGTTTCCAAATTCAATTTTGCTTTTGTTCTTATTCTCTGGACAGATTCTATCTTCTTCGGTATTGGATTTTCTTCAGATTGAGTTTCGTTTTCTTTCTCCGAATTGGTCTCTGAACCGAATCTCTGAATCGTTACATTGGCATCAATGGTTATTTGATTTTCCTTTTCGATTACAATCATTTCGTTTTCTTGTGTTTTGTTCCTCGCATTTTCACTGTTTATGTTCTCTTCTGACCGATTTTCAACAACGTTGTCTTCCTTGTCCTGTTCAATGATAATATTTTTGTCGTTAATATTTTGTTCCGTATTTTCTTGCTAATGCAACAAATTCTCTAAATCTTCTTCAGATCTTAAAAAGTCCAATCATATCTTTCGGAATTGCTGACGACGCAATGCCCACTTTCATTGGACTACCAAACATTGCTTCGTAGGGCGAGCATTTAATTCCCTCGTGATATGCTCTATTTTTAATGGCCTGGATGAATCACAAGCCCCCTGACCACTTTGACAACTGATTGGTCTCCATTCACGTACTGAGCATATTTTCGAAGTCTTGATTGGCACGCCTTACTGATCCTTGACTCTGGCTATGTCTTGGTTTTCCGTCTACAATTTTAACCTCTGGCCACATTGAGCATAAATTTTCAATTACATGGTTACAAAACTCCCGACCATTATCGGAATGAAGAATATTCGGCGCTAAAAAAGTGGTGAAAATATCCAAGAGATGATATGCAACTTCTGCTGCTCGTTTAGTTTGAAGTGCACGAAGGATCACAAATTTAGTAAGATGGTCTTGATAAACTACTATGAATTTATAATTTCCGTCAGGGTTGGTTTGTAGGTCTATGAGATCTACTTGACAGCGTGAGTTCATTTCACTATGAAGTTTAGGCTTGATGACAATGCCCTTCTTCAAAGTCTTCTGTTTCTTTTGACAAGATTGGCATAGCTTCAAATATGTCATAATAGAATCAACTGTAATGTTTTTATACTTGCGGCTACATTCCTTAAGTATCCTTGTCCTTCCACCGTGTCCAATACTTGATTTCTCCATTCTCTTCCTTTATCGACGCAATTAGCTTTTCTTCACCGCCTATAGCCAAAATATCATAGCGATTTATACGCCTGTAATGCAAAGCTTTCTTCTGTTTCACGTTCTTTGCAGTTTTTCCTCTAAACACTTGGTGTATTTATCCCTATCGAGATAAAAATTGCCCTTTTTGCTTGTCACGATCTTGTCCATTATTTTATAAAATCTATGTTTTACACTCATTTTGATTCATAAATTACATTTAGACATCGAAAACACAAACAGGAATTAAATTAACGTGCGCGTTCAAACGTGTCAAACGATCGACTGAGGCGAGCGAGCGGAGGCGCGAAGGTGGTACGGATAGCGGGGAGTTACGGACTGCCCAGGAGTACGAGACGATGCGCCGAATACGTTATGACATGTCTTTATCAACTTTTACCGTGTAATTATGGTAAATCCTAAGATTTACCAATTAAATGGTGGTAAAAGTTCGAAATAAAACGTTCGGACTGTCCATTGAGAGTTGGTAAATCTTAGGTTTTACCAGAAAATCTTAGGATTTACTACAGTTCCGGCTTTTACAGTAACATATCGACAATCATTCATTACACTTTGTTACGTTAGGTGATTATTTTTCCATTTGCGTCTTCAGTACAAAGTTGCATTTTTCTAAGGACAGATTGACTTGTACTCGAATACAAGAATTGATCCTTATGCTCCATCTCTAACCCGCTTGCAATTGAACTACACTTGATTTATATTTTTTATGTTTCTACATAGTCCATACTAACATCAATACACTTGCTCAGTATGTGCTCCAGAATTTTAGAAGCCTCCCGGTAACAATGATCAGCTGTTGATTTCTTGATTTTGTATTCCTCGTAAATATCAGTGGGGGTCAGGTCTAGCGAAACACGCCGTATCCTACAGATTCAAAGCGTGGTTGGTGAGGCTAGCCATGGCAGTCAACGAGATATGGTTGGGAGCATCTTCCTGATGAAGCAATACGCCACTTGTTAACTTTTCTCAACATTTTTACCATTATCATGCAGTTTTTTAATGTTTCCAACCGTGACCACAATTTTTTAAAGAACACGAGTCAAAACAGTTTGACATATGGACTTAATAATCCATTTACCTATAGCCAATCAAGATATTACTTGTTTTACTGCCAACTGCATTAATCAAATAGTTATCTACAAAACAAACAGGGGCGGAGCATAGGGATCAATCCTCATATTCATGCAACTATTGTTACTGTGTTCAAGCTGACTGATATAAGCGAACCAAGAATTCATTGAATGAAATTCTGGTTTTCTTATAACGTTGTAAATGTTCAAGTGTATTTCACTATCTTAGCATTGGTTTCATTCTTCTACAAATGAAAATTTATTTACCATAGTTTCTAAACTTAAAAAAATATCCATAGTACCATATCTCTACCTGCTTCAGCAAAAATTAAGCTAGCAGCAAAAAAACTGTATAAAGTGTAAATGACCTATTTTTTAGCTTGTTGTTCTAAAGTTATAAATATATATTGCCAAGTTGTATACATTTATATGAAAACTGATTCATTTAAGATTAGTATGTGTGTGTGGACGAGGTTCATGCTTCTTACCAGATTTCCCATTTTTTTTTTTAGGATAATTGTGATTTAAAAAAGCTAGAATCAAAAATTATAATGGCGATTTCAGTGGAAAAAGAGTATGATTTATTAAACATATTCATGGGTTTATTAATATTTCCAGTCAATGTCTGTTTAATTAATTGAATTCCCTAAAACGCGGATTCAAAAAGAATTGTGAAGTAAATCAAATGTCACTACAAAACCTAAAGTTGATATATAGGTATTTGGTTTTCAGTTTAAACAATCTTTCATAGAGCAAAAATGCCTTATTAATACAAATTTGATTAATACGTCTCTACTATGGCGAGATATAACTATATAATTCAATTCTCACTATTTGGATCTCGTAAAAAATGTCAACTAAGTGGCAAAGTTGTATATTCATGAAACTGAGAAAATTTCACTCAAGAAGTTGAAAGTATTTCCGGAAATACTCAAGGAACACCGAGTTTCAAAATAACTTTAATATCGCTACTTTTTGTTCTCTAGGTCATATTAAGAATTTCAAATTACGTTTTGCAGATATCAATAGAGCCTATTATGATTTCATTAAAGAAGCACTTTCCGAAGTAGACGTTAAAATATTGTAATTAGATTTTTTCATAATATCAGCGGCCAAGCATTCATCCAGCTTTTAGGAACTGGACTTCTATTTCCCAGATCAATGATGTATGTAACATACTAATATTATAATGTCTAAAAAAGCAATGCGCCTATAGATGGTCCCAACTCATCGAATGGGTATTAATTAAGGATACCTACTTGTAATACTAAAAATTGTGTAATTTTAGAAAACTTATTTTGGAGCAAGTAAAAATTTCCATGATGTTGCTAGCTGCTAAACACATTTCATATTCGTTATATTTAAATGATACTAATCTACAACTGAGATGTCATGTAGAGAGCTCCCGTCGTGCTTGAAATAACGCTTCTTATAGTCGATAAAGGGGTAAAGGTAAATTATGTAAATGTTCTTTAAAGACCGATATCAAAGAATGAAGCAATCTTCAATTGGTGCCATTTTCAAAGCCAATTATGAAAATATTAGTTTTTCCACGTCAATCTTGAATTTAAAAACTATTTTCACTTCTGCTAAAGTTCTATATGGTGTCCATAAGAATAAATAAAGTTGATGATGGAGGGTAAGAAATGAAATATCACATTGAAATTCTAATTATACCACCTTATAGACAAAAAAGAGAAGTAAGTCAATTCTCAATTTATTTGGAATTCCCACCTCTGAGGAAGAAATAAAAACGATTTTGAGAAAATTCGTTTTTCCGTCTATGCCCGGAAATACTCTGAATTGCCAAACTTTCCAAGTGTCATTTTCTTAGTTATATCTCTTATTTTTTGCGAGATTCCAGCAGTGAGGGTCGAATTTGATGCACAATTTCTTTCACGTGGAAAATCCTGTGTTGGCCAAAAACTATGTGTAAAGTAATTTGTCTTAATGGGTGCCCACACCATGATCAAAAAGGAAGGGATTTTAGGCGTTAATTTGCTTGAAGATACGCGTATTTGTCTTAGCTGATAGAAGTGCCGCGCCACACGACGCCCCAGATATAATCAGTGTTTACCTAATGACAGAGTTCATTACGTATGACGGTTTTTGACCATCGCCGCGATTTTCCACGCAAACAAAATTGTGTATATGGCTAACTATTACCACAACTTTCTAATAATATTATTTAGCTCTCGAGAAAGCAAATTACTTTATTTGAATTCACTAAATCTGTTGTAGAACTAAAAATCCATAGACTCACAGTAGAATATTCTTAGAAATAAATGAAAAACCCCTATCCTAAAATTTGCTGGGATACTTTGTTATTAAACGTCAAAGTTGATTAAACTAACTTCTCGGGTATATTCAAAAGTGCTTTATAATCAGACCTAATGAGTCCTTATATGTTCTAGTTGCTACAATGGTTACGCTGGGCAGCACGTAGAAATCTGTTAATTGCTACGAAGACTTTAACTTTCGATTATCACTTCAGATACTGTTATGTACTTCAAAGTAGAAAATAAAATTGAAAATTGAAGGTTTTTTTATAATAACATAACTGCTGCAGGAAAATCAACATACTCATACAAGATCTCATTCTATCTCCCATAATGATTGCAGCAGAATGTATTGTATCTAGACTTCATTCACCCTCAGAAAATAAGCCGGTGTAAGTTCCGTCTATACATTTATTTTTTGAAGTTCAATTATATTTGAAAAATACACATTTGTGTCTAAATATGGTTTTAAAAACTGGCTCTGGAAGAGACTATAGGGGATTATTGTCGAATATCTGAAACAAAAACATGGAATGATCTTATTTTCGAATATCTACTATTTTGTCACCCACACGTCAATCTCAGATCCACCACTGTATGCAAGTACATGGTTTAATCTCGTTTTATTTCTTATACTCTAAGTGTTTTAATATACCTAGTTAAATTCACTCAGGAATATTCAGTAGTTGTACAATATTGCTTATTACTTTTTATGCGTTTTTATATAAATCGCCAAACACGCCTTTTAACTTTAAAATATTTATAAATAATGCATCACCCAAAATTATGTATTTGTTTTTGTATTTATAAAAGTTGTAAGCATTTCTATAATTAAGCCTAGGAATTTCAATATTTCAGGCTATATTAATGATTTTTAAAACATTCCTTTATTTTCTTTTTTAATCAGTAGTTTTGATGCAACTCCAGCTGAATATTTAAACGAGAACATACATAAGAAATATGGTTACAAGAAGAAAAACATATACATATTTATATTTAACTATTTATGTAAAAAATATCAGTTAAGGTATTCTTTAGAATGTTTTATTTTTGTGAATGTGTTATTTTGTTTTTCAATAAAATATTTTAGTATTCCCGAGCATTTTATTGTATGTGTACCGGCTGTCTCAGAATCAAAGCTTAATTTCTTGGATGCATATACAGGGTGATCCACAAGTCGTGACCAAAAATAAAACATCATACACAGGACCGCATTTTAAGGGGGGTTTTCTAAGTAACATTTTTTCTCTAGGGCTTCATAAAAAAGACACTGGGTGCTGAAGTTTAAAAAAAACATTTTTTTAATATCTACAGGGGATTAGTGGCATTATTTTTCCAAATAAAAATAGTAAGCCACTGTTTTTTTCGAAACAGGAAATTTCTCGAATTTTACCTTCAATTTACTAAAAATAATTACTCCTGTGTCTTTTCCCAGGGTACACTGTTTTCATAAAAATAAAACATGTTAGATCATTCGTGAAGACTCGAGATACAATTAGTTTCAAAATAAAATAGGAGGGCTTGATACCAACTTGACGTTTATTGGGAGATAGTTTGCCAAAGTTATGTGTTATACGGTTGTTATCGTTACTATTACCATTTTTTGTTGTAAAATAAGTCAAGAGTTTCTTTTTCCATTTCTGAGTGTTGTGAAATGGAATTTAGCAGTTATGAGTATGCCAATATTATTTTTGTGTACGGGTTCTGTAATGGAGATGCTTTAGCGGCTTCTCGGGGGTATCAACGTAGATTTTCTGACAGACGTCAAACTTCCCGGAGTTATAGACTATAATGTCCGGCATACTGTTCAAGAGGAAGCGATTAATTTGGCGTTGGATGATCCTAGTACACGTACTTGAATTTTCTAGAGAATTACATAGAAAATGTGTTAGATGATGTTCCGTTAGCAACGAGATTACGAATATGGTATCAGCACGACGGTGTCCCACCGCATGTTCGTCGAGACAACCGCATGATTAAATAATTTTAGTCAACGATGGATTGGCAGAAACGGACCCGTAAATTGGCCTGCGAGGTCTTCTGATTTGAACCCCCTGGATTTCTTTTTGTGGGGCGTTGGCTTTTAAACAACTAGTGTATGCTGATCAAATTAGTACTGTTGATCAGTTACAAGAAAGAATAGGTAATGCGTTTCATCAAATTCAAGCCACAACAAATTTTGCAGAAATACGTTTTTCTTTATTAAGATGCTGCACTTGTATCCGTCATCATAGTAGCCTTTTTGAACATTTATTGATATAAAGTTTTGATTATCTAATTTGTTTTTTTTTTTATTTTTACAAAAAAAACAATGGCGTACTATTTTTATTATTTATTAATTTTAAGTAAATACCTTTAAATGTGGACAATACTTTGGTAAAGCCACATACCAAATTTTAGTTCATTCCAGTTGAAGATTTTGAAGATATTAATTTTTTTTTTATTTTTAAACAAGACCGATGCGGCGGTTGTACTGTTGAAGCATTTGCTGTTACCTAAGGACTGACCCAGCTGGTGACGAGTTCTACCTTTCCCCGCGCTTCGTCACACGCGGCTAACCTGCTGGATCTCTTTCTAACCACGCATCCTGTACCTTACAGGACTGCTGTCCTGTCTCCCCTAGGTAACTCAGACCACGGTGTTGTGGAGGGTTAGGTTTCGGTCAGAACCCGCTGTGGTAGCAGAAACCCACCCAGGCCGCAAAATTTGGCATTACGGACATGCCGACTGGGAGGGGCTCAGAGACTTTTTCTCCACCTTTCCTTGGATAGTTGTTTTTTTCTCAGTTTTCGAACCGGTGTTGATCGCATGTAGACATGTTCTCCTTGGAAGAAACTATATCTGTTAGATCGTAATTATTTTGTTAATATATGTTTGTACTAACCAAGCACAGGAATACAGGGCTGTACATATTCACGTATAGTGCAGCAGTTCTTTGATTTAAACAAATTCAATATAGCAACATAAATAGACACATACGCGAGAAGAGATGCGACGTGTGGTATTGATTTTGAGCATCGATCGACGCAGTTTCTAGACAGGCCACAGGCGCACCGCTAAACAAATCTCATAAATGTCTATTTCCAATTTAGGCATTCATCTAGCATAGTGCTTCGCTGCAACACCAACCCCGAACAAAATTAGTCAAGCTTTACGCACTTTTCAAATTACTATTGAGCAACAAACAGAACATAAATCTCTTTTTAAGTGCAATCTGTATAGCTAATATATTACCCAGACTTAGATTTATCACAAGTCACGATACTCATATATACGTATAAGTCGTAAGAGTTGTGCTGTAAACAAGTGATGTCAAAGACCGACAGCATTTGGAATACCAATGGATACGAAAAAATCGTAATGCTCAGTTCCTATAGCTATAACTTATAGTTAGTATGCCTCTGTCACCATGATGTGTCAGAAAGTAACACAATGGTCTTAGATTGCAAAAACAAATGTCAGACGTCTAGGGGGGGGGTCGCCATCTTCGGTTGCCCCCTCTGTTCAACGCACTTTGAACACACAGAATATGAACCTAGCAACTGCGCTTAGGTCCCTTCAACAAATAATAAGTCCATAAGTCCCCTGATTAGCACCACTCAGGCATTGCAGGCGATCTTTCTGCATCCATTGGCTAAGTACAATAGACATTTATCAAAATTCTTTTTTGGTATTGTCTGGGCCTAAGGGATATACCCAAAAAACGGGAATTTCATCAAACTCTATTGGATGAAAGTATAGACGTAGCTCTGCTGCAGGAAACATTACTTAATCCGGGAGCTTTCTCGAATTATGATGTTATACGCGCTGACAGATTGAATGGCAGGGGTGGTGGCTTGGCTGTGCTCGTTAAACGTGGTATTGACTATCACAGAAGTACAAACGCCGAGATACAAAGCATTGAAGCGGCGTCCGTGGTGGTCAATATGACGGAATGCATTCAGTTGAAGATCACCTCGGTTTATGTCAGGTGCGGTGCTAGGCTGCGAGAGGAGGACTTGGAAGTCCTTCTGGACTGTTCGGGCCCTCTTATTGCGGCAGGGGACTACAACTGCAAACACCTCGATCATGACACTCAAGGCTTAACTTTACTTGTGGGGTTCGGCTTTACAACCATGTGATGCGAAACGGGTATCTTATTCACAGCACCGAAGAGCCGACACACCATCCTTTCAATCATCTTCCAGCACCGGATGTTATAGACTTTGCAATATCTAAAAACTGTAGGTTCAGTTTTGCTTCTAGGATCTTGTATGACATCTCTAGTGACCATCTACCTGTTGTTCTGGAGGTAGGGAATGGGCATTTCGTGGAGGAGGAAACTCCTCCAAGAGAAACAGTTGATTGGGAACTATACAAGTCATTTCCCAAAGAGTTTCCCAGCGTCCCGGTAATATATGTACATGATGAGAACGGAATTGATGCTGTTCAATCCGAGTGGACAAGTTCCGTTCACCAATCTCTACAGCGTTCTACTGTGCTTCCAGTGCGGCGATTACGGCAGGCCTTTTCTCACTGCTGACATTCGTCGGAAACTTTCTGAAAAGAGGGCTGCGATTAAGCAAGTAAAAAGGTCTTGTCATCCTTATGACATTCGTGGGGCGACGAATCTCGTCCATGAAGTGAGAAATGCACTCCATGAATTCCGTAATGAGCAGTGGAGCGACTTTCTGGCGGGGATGCTTGAATCAAGTATTCCTCTCTGTAAAGTGGCAAAATCGCTCAGAAACGGAAGGCCAGAACAACTACCACATACTCATGGTCCTGGAGGCATAGTTCTCAGGACTGAGGATAAAGTGGAGGTTTTTGCTGACGTCATTGAAAGGCAGTTCTCTCCCAATTATGATCTGGACAATGACCTTGACGAGAAACGACAAATCTGTCAGGAGATATTTCAGAGACAATGGCGATAACAACGCCAGTGCTAACATCGCTGACTCCTTTTCAGAAGATTATTCTACGGAAGACTCTTCAGATGAATCTCAGCATAACACATCAACGGAATCCTCTGAGATTCCGTTTTGCACACCAGCAGAGCTCCAAGGCCACATTAAGGACCTAAAGGTGCGTAAAGCACCTGGAGAGGATCAAATCACCAACAAAGCACTGAAGTTGCTTCCGCTCAAGGCTTTGACTTATCTGGTCTCAATAACCAATGCAATGCTCAGAACTCATTACTTTCCTAAGGCGTGGAAGATCGCTGAAGTCATCATGATCCCAAAGAAGGCAGGTTCGATATTCCCCCAGGATTACCGTCCCATTAGCCTGCTGTCAGCTATTTCTAAGCTCGCTGAAAAGGTGATTTATCATCACCTTGAGAATTCCTCGTCAGATCACCATGTGATTCCTGACGTGCAATTTGGCTTTCGGTCTGAGCATAGTACGGAGCTACAGGCAGTTAGACTGGTGGAGCATGTAACCAGGGGGTTCACCCTGAACAAAAGTACTGATATCTTGCTTTTAGGTGTATCAAAGGCATTTGACAAGGTGTGACACATGGGCCTCTTGTATAAGCTCATCCAAAACGGTTTTCCATTTTGGCTTCTTAAACTGTTTAAATCTTTTCTAGAAGGAAGGAAGTTTCGGGTCAAAATTAACAATGTGTTGTCAACAACACGGCCCGTAAGAGCCAGTGTTCTTCAGGGTTCGGTCTTAGGACCAATCCTTTATTCACTTTATACAGGGTGGCGCATCGAAAACGAAACAGATGTATTTAATGGCAGCTCAGGTTTTTTTTGAAAAACGCTCAGACCCGTCGATTTTCTTTTCGAGGGGTACACAAGTTTGGCAAAAAATCACGTTAACACGTGCAGCCCCCTGGGCGGGGTGACACCAACCGTAAAATCTTAAATGGAAAGGGGGGTCGAGTGATACCTACCTTATTTTAAAGGTCTTTCAATTCCCTTTATAATGATGTAAAATACATGAGCTTTAGTTCAGTAGTTTTGAAGATTTATTGATTTAAAGCTTAAAGTAGACTTTAATAGGTACATCAGATTAGTTTGTACTACTTTTAGTAGAAATTTGACTAAAAGAATTTACTTAATAAGCAAATGCTTTTCTTCACTACGCCCATGGTTCGTTTATCATTTTGTTGTTGAAAATAGCTATTGGAGCGTATTTTTGTGGCAAAAAAGTTATTTCTTGAAGAAAGATAAGGAAATATCTCATACTTATTTTAAATAGGAATTTAGTACATAGTTTGCGATTGATTTGACCAAACTTTGTTGCTAAAATAACCTGTAACGCTTTATTACATAAAATAACCGTGGTATATTCCACAGCAGAAAGAGTTGAAATTATCGAAATATTTTTCGGAAATAATCAGTGCGCTAATAGAACAGCAGAAATATTGAAAATCCCATAAGGAACGAAGCAATAGGAGTGGGGGTTTTAGGGCAAATTTATGTAGATTCTACGTTAAGTTCCCGCAAATTGGAGACTGTGTGTGGTGTTAGTCGACGTACTGTCCAACGGATTCTAAAGGCCCATAGTTTTCATCCGTATAAAGTTCACCTGGTACAAGAACTTAATGAAGACGATTTTGATCGGCGATTACAATTTTGTGAAGATATGAGTGAACGAATTATAAACGATGAACATTTTCTATTCAACACTTGCTTTTCCGTAATGATCCTTTTTCTTAAATGACGTAGTAAATCGTCATAACTGCCGATATTGGTCCGATTCTAATCCCAGAATTTATCATGAGGTTCATACACAGCAGCCACAAAAATTAAATGTTTGGGCTGGTATTTTTGGCGATCATTTAGTGGGTCCTTTTTTCTTACCTGGAAATTTGACCGGTGAAATGTATTTGGAATTACTGGAAGACGCCATAGACCCTGCATTAACAGCCATAATTGAAAATCAGAATGATCGGCGGTACATTGCGAATAGGTTGATGTTCCATCAGGATGGTGCCCCACCACATTACGCATTACGTGTTCGACAATATTTAGATCAGACGTTTCCAGGTCGATGGATTGGTAGGAGAGGTGCCATTGAATGGCCCCCAAGATCGGCAGATTTATCACCTTTGGATTTCTTTATGTAGGGTCATTTAAAAAGCAAAATCTATGCTACTCAGCCAACATCATTAGAAGACCTGCGACAAAGAATTGTGAACAAGTGCCTTCAAATTACTCCTCAAATATTGCAAAATGTGCGGCAACGTTTTGACCAAAATCTTTATTATTGCATGGAGAGTCATGGTGGCCATTTTCAATATTTACTTGCCTAACGGGTCAGTGCATTCTTCACTTTTAAATTACTTTGCTGCCAAATGTATTGATCTTCACTAATGATGATGTATTAGTTTTATTTAAGCTTTAAATCAATAAACCTTCAAAACTACTAAACTGAAGTACATTAATTTTATATCATTATAAATGAAATTGAAAGACCTTTAAAATAAGGTATCACTCGACCCCCCTTTCCATTTAAGATTTTAGGGTTGATGTCACCTCCGCCCAGGGGGCTGCACGTGTTAACGTGATTTTTTGCCAAACTTGTGTACCCCTCGAAAACAAAATCGACGGGTCTGAGCGTTTTTCACAAAAAACCTGAGCTGCCAGTAAATGCATCTGTTTCGTTTTCGATGCGCCACCCTGTATATATGACGTCCCTTCACCCAGCAACTGTGAAGTCTATCTCTATGCTGGATGACACTGCACTGCTAGCTCAGTCTTGTTCTGGTAACCTGGTTCACGACAGGCTGCAGAGTGCGGTGGAGTGGGCCGATCGGTGGTTGATCAAAATTAATACTTAGAAAACGCAGGCAATCTGTTGTACTAAAAAACGTCGTGGTGCCCCCTCAGAGATATCAGTGAATGGAACCATGAGAACATTCTGTGAGGTACCTTGGACTCATCATTGACAAGGAGTTGACCTGGCAGAAACATACTAATATTTTGAAAACAAAATTCCAAATTACCTTTCGGCAGCTTTATCCTTTGTTATGCAGAAATTCAAAATTAAGTTTGATCAACAAGATTCGGTTATATAAAATGGTTATAAGACCCGCAATCACATAGGCATGCGCGGCTTGGTGTTTTCTTGCCAAGACGCACATGCAGAGACTGCAAGTCCTGCAAAACAGAATCCTACGCACAATCACTAACGCCCCTTGGTACGTGTCAAGTGAGGATCATGTAAAACAACAGGCACAGCGGCGTTATAATCAAGCCGAATCGCACAGCAACCGTCTGTTGCGACTATACAGTCGAGCAAATTCGCAAACATGCCAGGCCGCGCCTCGCACTGTGATCAAGATTAAATTGTGAATTCAGACCAGCCAAAACTATTTTCAGTATACAAAACTGATCAAAATTATTTTTTGGAGCTACAAAATTATTCGAGTAGTCAAAGCAATAATGCTTAAGCTATTTCAAATGATTTACTTCTTTTCTTTGCTCTATTTCTTCATTCTTTTCTTTCCTTCTTTCCCTTTTTCCCTTAAACATGTTTGGTATCTGGGTAGCCAGACCTGACAGACTAACAGACAGCCGACACTCTAAGAGCATAGGTCCACGGGACCGCTCTGACGAACTATGACGAATAGTTTAGTTATCAACCCAATCCACAACTGATGACAGCAGACAGCACTCTAAATCTTGTACATTTTAATGCTTCCAAAACACAGTACTGTACCTTTACGAACAAAAAGCGTCCTAGCGCTGATCCGGTATGTATCGATGGATGGCCTGACTTCGGTCTCCCATCCTAACAGTGTCGAACTTCGTATACCCAAAAGTGGCTGAGGCTATTCCCAGTTCTGCTAACCTAAGGCAGTTCAAAAATCGGATTAACAAAATTTCTTTGGGATCCTCATAGCATCTGCGGATTCTGACTGCGCGGCTGCTTCTGTGTAAATAAAACTGATAACGAGCTTCAAAATGAGGTATTACACGATACTTCATTTCTTTTAAAGAAATACTTTAAAATTGCGCCTAGTCGCCATCTCGGAATTTTCAACTCCCACTTTCACGCTAAAATAGTATTCATGCAACAATTTCATTAGCACGAATTTCAGCTTTCTTATTTGACCTGTTTAAAAAATAAGTAGGGCAAAAGCAATGTATGCAGATAGCACAAACACTAATGCTACAAGTTTCTATAAAAATCAGTTCACCTTAAATTACCTCTGAACGACTCTATTTAATTCAAAGATATTTGGATAACAGCAGTTGGGTTCTCATATATGATGGTGTCTTTAAAAAACATTTAAATTGAATTAGCCTTAGCACAAGATTGCTGTATGACAGTGGCTAAAAACTTGACAAACTTGGTTCTGCTTTAGCTGAAAAAGTCAATGACGGGTAGATTAACCGTAAAAGCTCATGAAAATGGCGATTAGAGTGCAAAAATGTACAGGGGAATAACGGAATTGTTCCATTAAATTATTTTGTAAAAAAGTATATTTTGCGTTTTTGACCACCCTGTTTTGATCATTTGAAAAATTTAGAGACTCTCAAACTTTGATGTTTTCTTAGATAAAATACCCAATAGCCCAACAACTAATTATCAAAGCCTATAAGTGTATCAGTCTCTGTTTGAAAGGACCTATCCGAATATGTAATAAAAGGTAGGCATACCATTAAAAAAATCAACTTTGATGTGTGGGTAAAAATTGGGACACCCTGTATAATTGTGAATATTTAAAAAATATGCCCTCGATACCATATACATAAACGTGTATAACAATCCATAACTAGTTTTGTTTTAATAGTTTTTGTTTACCATTCTCCGTTCTCGCATGGTTGGGAATACATAGTATATTTGAATTTTCCTAAGTTCTTTTCAGTTCCTTCGTCAAAATAATAACTTCTTGTTAAAAAAATCGCCACAAATTCGAAAAACCCCATTTTCACCGATCCAATTTTAGACATTTTTATAGTAGGATAACATGACAAAAAGTCAACAAACTGCCGACGTCAGTTTGAGGCAGCCGCGAATGCAAATGGTTGATCATTGACCGAAAAGGCAACTGCACTCACTTTGGCCCTACCAGGAGATGCTACAGCTATTCTTCAAGGAATATCACCCGAAGAACAAGAGGACTACGAACAACTAGTAGGACATTTGGAGATGCGATATGGCCAGTCACATTTAGAACATGTCTACCATACTCAACTAAAGAATCGGTTCCAGAAGTCAGGCGAGTCCTTGCAGGAGTTCGAAGCGGATATTGCGCGGTTGGTACGATTAGCATATCTCGATCTTCAGGAAAGGATAATGGAGCGATTGGCAGTCCAAGCATTCCTGGATGGACTTCGTGATGGTGAAATGAGGCAAGCCTTACTACTAGCACATCCACCTAAGCTAGTAGATGCGCTAACTCGGGCCTTAGGATTCGAAGCCGCTAAAAACACAAATAAAACCAGGTCCGAGACCGCCAGATAGTACCAGGAGATACGAGTTCGAAGAGTCCATCAAGCGCGTTTTTAAGGAACTTGATGGTGAACGTCGCTGGCAGAACAGCAAGCTGGAATGTTGGAAATGCGGAAAAATAGGACACGTTAGGAGACGCTGTCCTGACCGTGCTAGTCCTCATCCGGCCAATCCGCATTGCCGGCGGGCAGAGGAGAAAGGCGCTCAAGTATTAAGAACCACTATCGTTAGTGATACCTGGCAAAATGAAGACCTCATTGTAGATGAAGAGGGCGACCCCGATCTCCAAATAATTCTAAACTGGGTGAAAGAACAACGGAAACCAGCCTGGGAAGAAGTTGCCTAATATTCCACTACCATAAAATCATATTGGGCACAATGAAATTCTCTCGTTATGGACGACGGACTCTTACTGCGTAAAATGGTGGACCACGACGGCAAAGAGGAAAGAAGACAAATCGTTGTTCCCAGATGTCGGATCCCGGAGCTGCTAGAAGAAACCCATTCCGGTGTGTCAGGTGGTCATCTCGGAGTTACAAATACCCTGGGAAAAGTTAGGGAAAGATTTGACTGGGTCAATAGCAAGGAGGACGTAAAAGACTGGTGCAGAAAATGCGTTGTGTGCGGCAAGTAATGTACCGCAAAGGAAACCAAAAACTTCGTTGCGCCAATTCAACGTGGGGAGCCCCTTTGAAAGGATAGATATTGATGTGGCGAGACCCCCTCCAGAAAGTGAAGCAGGAAATAAATACATCATTGTAGTAATGGATTACTTCAGCAAGTGGGTTGAGCATATGCTTCGCCAAATCAGGAAGCCTCTACAGTAGCCGATGCTTTATTAAAGGAATGGATCTGTCGATTTGGTGTACCTTTGGAGTTGCATTTGGACCAAGGGCGCAATTTCGAGTCAAATCTGTTCCAAAATATCTGTCAAATCCTTGGGATTAAGAAGGCCAGGAGTACTACCTTACACCCACCGTCAGATAGAATGGTGGAGCCATCAACCGGTATTTGGCTGAGGTAGACTCTAGCCATCAAAGAGACTGAGATAGTTTTCTGCACCTCTTCTTATTGGCTTACCGATCGTCGATTAATGAAAGCAGAGGAGACACCCCGGCTCGAATAGTTATGGAAAGAGAACTTCGTCTTTCATGCCATCTAAAGTTTGGCTGTCCACCAGGAACTGATATTGCCGGAGAAAAGTACGTAAGTGAGCTGCGTAGAAGAATGGATGCCATCTATAGCCAGGTTCGTGTTTCAATTCAAGGTGCCAGCGATCGGATGAAGGAAGCATATGACGTTAATGCCTAAACGCCTAAACGTCAATCATCCTGGGACGGGCCATATAAAGTTCTGGAGGCCATCAACGATGTTCTCTACAGGATTCAGAAGGCACCACGCGGTAAAGCCCCAATTGTACATTTCAACCGACTTGGCACTTATCATGGAAACAACGAAGATGCGGCGATGCGGCAAATCCAACCAGAACCGGACATGACATTTGACCAATTTATGGCCCATCACGCTCATGGCCATAGGAGTCGGTATGGCGTGACAAGTACAGCAAGATCTGTTTACCACTGCACCAGAGTATGCACTGGCACACTGTGTGGCTCAAGACTTGCAAATGTCGAGGGGTATAGCAAAGGTCTTTCTCATGAAGTTTGGAATAATGCACGAGCTGCGACAATCTAACCCGGAAGTCGGAGAGGTACTCCAGATGACTGAAGAGGGTACCAACCGAAAGATCTTCTATCTGATTACCAACAAAGCTTCGTATCAGAAATCGAATTACGAGGATGTCTGGAGCGCTTTGTGCTCTCTTAGAAAAGTGTTGCTAGACGAGAAAACTGGTAATACCTAAGCTGGCATGTGGATTGGACAACCTGGGCTGGAGAATCATCCGAAGCATGCTTGAGGTAGTCTTCCTACAGGCATTCGATTTCTGGTATGTTGTCACAGTCCTAGACGGCTACCTCCTGGAAAGAGTGTGGATTGTTACTTCTTCAAGAACTCCTACTGCAAGAAAGGGCATTCGTGCCGATATCGACATCCACCACCAGTAAGATTATTCCGGGACGGAATGACTTGAGGGATGGGGTAGTGTAACAAGAATGAATAGTACTGTTGGCACCATCTGATGGGGACCGCGCCAGGCTCTCCTTCGGTGCTGGCGACATTTGTTGAGGACCATGCAGGGACTTTCCTTCGAGATAGACGCGAAGTGACCTTCTCGAATCAATGAGTACCTGCGATGCGGTTAATAAATAGTCAGCTGTAAAAAGTGGTGTACATGAATGTTCTATCTAGTCAATTTAATCAAATTAGTGAATTTCTTTTTGTGGAATCCAGTGTTTTAATCCACACCCAAAAAAACCCAAAAAACGCTACAGTATATTTTAACATTGAAACCAAAATAACAGCAGGTAAAATAGTGGCGCGAAGGTGGCACGCTTTCTTTGGAAAATTGTATTAATTCTTAATAAGCAGTGTTTTTCAAGTTTTTGCTTCTATAGTCTTCACTTTTTACCATCCACAAGCAAGGATGGTCCCTTAGTCCCTATCCAACACATTTTTTTAAGCTGTCCCTTGTCGATGACATGATATTTCAAATTTCAACAGAGAATCCACCAGAAACCCAGGTGCCGGGCTTGCGAGTTCAGTCGTGTCTGTGTAAATGCTGTCCGGTGCGCGCTCCATGTCTGCATTCCATTCAGGCGGTCTATGCGACGTTCGACGTGCCAGCGGTTGACTATTTACACAGAAGTGTTGGACCGAGAGAAAAATTGTCGGAAAAACCGTACGTGTAAAGCGGCATAATGAAGTCTGTAAGAGACTTTAGATATAAATCAAATCCAAGCGAATAACCAAAATTTCTGTGTTATGTGCCGCGGTTATAATATGGTTCAAGATGACACAAGGTTTGATGACGTCAGTTACACGAATCGCTTGAACGCGTTGGTTTTAACCGCGGTTTTGTTGCAAGTTGTTTATTTTAGGAAAGTGCGTATATAATCTCTGATTATTTTTATTATCACTTATTAATCGGTGCTTTTTTGTCTACAACGGTGTATGGAAAGTTTAAATAAGAAAACTTGCATAATATTCATGGGAGAAATGTTTTTTTCAGATTTTTTTTTTAATGATGGAACCATAGCTTTGTAGCTATGATAACTTTTAATTCTCTAAATTTTTCCGCATGTCAAAGAAAACATTTATTGATTCAGCAGAAATGATGAAAAAAGAAATTAGCAAAACCGTATACAGGTGGATATCATCTAGTGAGTTTATATGGCCATATTTTAATATTCTTGTGGTATATGGCTACACAGGATACTTTGTTAAGCATAGGAACTACATTTAAAGTGTCCCCAACAACCGTAATGAGTATAACTAATAAGGTGCTCCACTTTATGGTAAAACTGAAGTCAGCCTGTATCATTTTTCTCAAAAATGAAGCTGAAGTACAATAACAATATCCAATACCCGGCAAAATTCTAACTTGTCACATTTCAAATAATAACCAGAAATATAAAACTACTCTTGACTTGGGTAAATACCACAATTTTGCGGTGATAACTATGACATATAACAGCTGATTCGTGACGTCACGGATCTTATAACCAAACTGATAACTACACTCGCTTGAACGGATTGGTAAATACCAACCCAAAATGGTAAATACCATTTCCATTTGGTTATCCGCTTGAATTTGATTATAGAGTTTAAGTCTCAGACTAAAAATATAGGTTTAAGTTTACTTTACTTCGTCTCCTCCCATGTTCTATGTCACAAATGTCAACTCAATAAGCTGTCACTGTCACGTAGAAAGTAAATGATAATCAGTATATATGTTTTGTGACAAAAAGTAAACAATTGTATAAACTTTGTGTAATGAAATTATGTATAAACAAATAACTATCTTTTCCTTTCCTGGGAAGAACCCTGATATTTTCAAAATGTAAAGTCCATCCATATGATCTTCAGGCATATATTCTATGAAATCCGCGAAAATGGCAGACGCTGATTGTGCCAGTGAGACGGCTAGCTCGATAGGAGACGAGGAACGTGTGAAGAGGCTCTTCCAGGCCTGCGATGCTAATGGAGATGGTTATATTGATAGGTGAATATCAATCAGGTTAATTTGAAGTGCTAGTCCCAACTGTTTTCTCCATGGGTTCATGGTCCTATGAGCGGTACTAAAAATCTATCCCCTGCTTCATCATGAATCTCCACTCCATTTCTACTTTTTTATCCAAATTATCTATGGTGCAAAAATCACTTATTTCTGAAACTATAAAAGGTAATTTAGTCCATAGAATTTTTAGTGTGATTTTTTCATGTGCTCCAAACAATTTGCTAAACTTTATTGGGCTTGGAAGTAGTGAGAGTTTTTTTGATTATTTGATTTTGGCAGTTGATACTGACATGTCACTGACTATTAATTATGTATATGAAACCTTGTGAGTTGTCTGTGAGAGCTTCGGTCTGATTATTGACTACTAGCCCACTGTACTTACAGAAACTTCTGACTATTTTATTCTGCGAAATCAGTCGGCAGCTTGGCCAGTAAAATGTCAGAGCTTGCACATCAATGATCATCATTTAAATGTTTCAGTAACAAGTAAAAAATTATAGAAAAGTACAGGTATTTCCATGTCCTGTAAACTAGAATTGTCAATCATGCATCATCTGATTGCTCAAGAGTGCCTAAATTTTCCCCTGAAGAGAAAAATCTGGAACACTTTCTGTAAAAAAATACAAAGCAAAAATGTCAAGTAGATTAACTTAGGCCCATATCGTCAGTCGTCCCTACAATTGAAGGGTGCGTTTATGGCCTCCTTGATTGTCATACTCTTTTCTCTCCTTCAAAAATTTCTAGATTACACTCGTCCCGTGTCAGCGTCAGCGCTCTCCTATTGTTTAGGTCCGTATCTTCAGTCGTCCCTACAATTGTAGGGCGCCTTTATGGCCTCCTTGATTGTCATAGTTTTCTACTTCTCCATGTCAGCGCTCTATTTTGAGGTTTTGTCACAAACATCTATTTGCATCAAATTGTGCTTGCTTTTGGGTTATATCATGTTTTATCAGCCTGAAATTTCCTAAAAGAAAACATATCTTCACAATAGGAGAGTGCTGACGCTGACACGGGACAAGTGTAATCTAGAAATTTTTGATGGAGAGAAAGGAGTATGTCAATCAAGGAGGCCATAAACGCGCCCTACAATTGTAGGGACGACTGACGATACAGGCCTAAGATATGTTTTCCTTTTAAATTGTAGGAAATTTCAGGCTGATAAAACATGATATAACTCAAAAGCAAGCACAATTTGATGCAAATAGATGTTTGTGACCTCAAAATAGAGCTCTGACATGGAGAAGTAGAAAACTATGACAATCAAGGAGACCATAAACGTGCCCTACAATTGTAGGGACGACTGACGATACAGGCCTTAATAAATTGCCTCCAATTCTCATTAAAAAAATATGGACATTTTATTAAAGTTAAAAACACTACTAAAATTTATGTCTAACAGTCAAGCAGTGAGAACAACATTTACCAGTATATATCACAATATCCTTCCACAGTATAAAAGCTATTACAATTAAAAAGTATTTAAAGAGTTTCTTAAATTTTACATTGTGACAATTCTTTATTTACAAAGGCCTAACATTTTTAGGCTAATAATATTTGGGGACTTATACTTAATTTGAGTTCTGTATTTCTGCTAATGTGCTAAAGAGATGTTCTGGCTTGCTCCATTTCTTTCGCGTCTCTTTCAGATATCTTACGAATCTGGTATATTCCCAGATAACTGTAAAGTGCAGACATTTTTCTGGCAGAAGCCTAAATGCCAGAGCACCGCGGCTGTTATGAGGATCCAAAAGGAACTTTGATAATCCGATCCGATTTTTGAGCTTCCTAAGGTTAGTAGAACTGGGAAAATGCTCCTCTTGTAGATTGTTCCACAATTTCGACATCCTGTCTGGCAGTCATATCTTGCGGCGGCATCATGGAGACCAGCTCTGAGGAGCCACTGGCCCGCCGGTGCGAAAGGGTCACGAGACTGTCCTAAAAAAAGGATCTTAGACCAAGCCTTACAGCTATAGCTTTGCTTTCTGTTTTCAGTAAGGTGATGAGGTCCCTACAGTTGCGCCTACCACCACTCTCGATGACGACACGCAACACGTCAGTGCCACCTAACCCCTCCACCAACTTCCCTGTTGTTCCTATAAGGGCAACGCCTCAACCGACCCAGTTATATATATATATAAATATATATATATATATACATATATATATATATATATATATATATATATATACATATATATATATATATATATATATATATATATATATATATATATAACTTGAGACGTGGTCATTGTCGTCTAAACCAGTTAGGTGAAAAATTAATTTTAAAATATATATATATATATATATATACGAAAACAACAATTAGCAACATCCTCACATACTACTGTAAGTTGATTCAATTTAAATTCATTTTACACTTTTGTTGCTACTGTTATCATTGTAATTGCAGCTCCTGATGATGGCAAAGTCCATTGAAAGCTAGAGAGAATTAAAAAAAGTATAAAGAGTCCTCTTTGCTTAAATTTTGTCGAAGTACCCAACAAAAGGCGGAAGCTTTAATTTTTCACCTATATATATATATATATTATATAGGGTGGCCCATCGATGTGTGGATGGAATATTACTCATAAACAAATACATTTTGAGAAAATCTATTTATGGCATGTTATACATGACATTTGAGGGCACATTTCTAAAATATTGGCAATTATACAGGGTGTCCCAAATTTGACCTACATATCAAAGTTATGATTTTTTAAATAGAATGCCTCCAATTTTATTGCATATTTGGATAAACCAATTCAAAAGAAGAAGATTGATACAACATAGTATGTGTTTTGTCCAGAAAAACCGTCCACTTCGGCAACCCCTCAATCCGCCGTTTTGAAATTTGGAGTGCTTACACACCTCAGCTTTTATTTTATTTGTTACTTTTTCGAATTTTGATTTTTGCTCATGGTGGTCAAAAACGCGAATTGTACTTTTTCTCAAAAATTTCAAATGCATCACCCTGTATATTTGTACAAGTTTGGATTCGATTTTTTAGAAGCTTTTTATTGATATAAGGTTTGATTTAGATAAAATCACTCGATTTTGAGTTATTTTAATAGAACAACACACCAAAATTAAGGAAAAAAATCACATCATCCATGGAAACAAGAGACAAACAGTGGGCTAGTTTTATATTGCCACTACGAGTACAGATTTGACGTAAAAACTAATAACAATCAGAACAGTATAAATCAGCTTCAAGCGTAATAGAGAAAAACAACTATAACAACAACATAAACAAACAACTATCACTACTTAAGACCTAATCTACAAAAACTGCTCAAAAATATCTCTACCATGTTGAATACACACCCATAGTCGTTGGATAAATGATTGTTGCACATCCCTCAGCATGTGTTCCCTTATGTTCAGAAAAGCATCCTTAATTTTTTCTTCGTGTTTTCTGGGGTAGATGGTGGATAACTATAAAATTCTTGCTTACCGTAGCCCCTTAGAAACAAGTCCATCGGTGTCATATATGGTGATCTAGGCGGCCAAGATATAGGCCTATCACAACCGATCCAACGATTGTTACTCCAGGTGTCCAAATAGTTACGCACACGGTTATGATAATGCGCGGGTGCATGCAGTAAACCGAATCCGAAGCAACGCGTTGAATACGCGGTTATTTGCGCAGTTGTGTGAAGAAAATGACGAACACTTTCATCAATTACTCCTTCACACTGAAGTACGCTGGCTGTCGAAAGGCTTATGTTTGACAAGATTTTTTGCACTTTTTGAGACTATTTTAGAATTTCTGGATACTAAAGATAAAATTTTATAAGAAAATTTAATGAAGAGGAAAACAGACATCGCCTATTTAACAGATTTGTTTACAAAATTTAATATGGTTAATAACAAAGCGACAGTTTAAATTTGATTAAAACAAAGTCCATCTTATCAGCGTTTCTTGCCAGAGTTAAACTAATAAAGCAAAATATTGGACGGGCGCATTTTCTCAGTTCCCCAATTTGTCACAGACAAGCTGCCAGGAAGACGACGTTTCAACTTACGTTCAAGATTTAAATGCCCTCTATTCAGATTTTTAATCTAGGTTTGAGGATATCTTGACTATGTTAATACCACCGTGGATAATTAATCCATATGGTGACATAGAAGAAACGAATGTCATAATACAAGAGGAACTGACTGAACTAAGTACAAACGAAGAACTTAAGGTTCAGTTTAAAAACGGATATCAGCAATTCTGGCTGCAAAACAACATACCCGTTACTTATCCCGTATTATGGAATATAGCGAGGAAAATTTTAATTTCGTTTCCATCGTCATACCTAGTGGAAAGGGGGTTCAGCGCTGTTACCAATCTCCGAACGAAAAAAAAAAAACAGACTGGACATCATTAGCCGAGGAGATTTAAGATTAACCCTTACAAAATTGATGCAAATGTTGATAATTTATTATTAAAGCATCAGGTTTATCCTTCTCACTAAAAATATTGACTTATTGCTTATATTATTTTATTTATAGTTTATTTTATGTTTATTGGTGTCTGACCAATAAATGCGCGCATTGGGAGTAAGTGCCCGCATTGATTTTTTTAAAGAACCCCATAGAAAATATTTTTTTTTAAATTATTCTGAAAATTCAAGGATAGGTACACACTAAAATTCGTTAATTTTTTGCCTATTTTTAGATAACTTAAACGTATAAGAAGCGGAATTTAATCAAACTAACAGTGAAATTATTGTAGAACATACGTTTATGTTATAATTAATAAACGAACTCGCTTATTGTACTATTTTAAGTAGAAAACTTTTTTTTTATTATTTTTCTCTTTTTTTTATTTTATCCGTTAATTTTTTTCATTGGGGGCACTTATTCCCAATGCGGGCACTTATTGGTCAGACAACGTTACGTATATTTTACATAACAGATACAAACTTTTATTTTGAGTAGGTTTAATTTAAATTCAATTAATAAATGTATAAATTAACATGTGTTTTTACTTTAAGTTTTTAACACTAAACTTCACTACAGTTAGAAATTCACAGGAAATCAATATCAGGTAAGTAGGGGGTCCACCCAACACGGAAAAACATGGCAAGGGGTCTACGACATAAAAAAGTTTGGGGAACTCTGCTCTAACTGATTGGCCTCATTGGTGACACTTGGATTATTTATACATGTTTTACTATATTCCACTGCTCCACTTGATTCAAAACGTTCTCGTAGTGTGGAAAATGTTTTCGGCCTTGGATGTCGCATATTAGAACACCATATTTACCATTTCTTTTTTAGAAAAATTCATTATCAAACACTTTTTTATTATAATGCTCACAAAGCTAATTTTGACAGTTTATAACTAATCAACAATTTATTTGTTTCCAAGGATGATGCGATATCTTAGGGAATTAAGCCGATCCACAAAAGACGTGCAAATAACCGAAAAATAGTCGTAAAAACCCTTATGTGTGTAGTATCAAAGAAAAGCTCATAAAAATTGAATCCAAACTTGCACAAATATACAGGGTGATGCATTTGAAATTTCTGAGAAAAACTAAAATTTGCGTTTTTGACCACCCTGAATGACCATAAATTAAAATTCGACAAAATAACAAATAAGATAGAAGCTGAGTTGTGTAAAGTTTTTTTGATACAAAATTCAGCACTCCAAATTTCAAAATGGCGTACTGAGGGGTTGCCGAAGTGGAGGGTTTTTCTATACAAAACACCTTATATCTCAGTAGCTAATTACCTAAACCCCATAGTATGTTATATCAATTTTCTTCTTTTGAATCGGTTTATCCAAATATGCATAAAATTTGAGGCATTCCATTTGAAATATCACAACTTTGATATGTAGGTCGAAATTGGGAAACCCTGTATAATAGCCAATATTTTAGAAATGTGCCCTCAAATGTCATGTATAACATCCCATAAATAGATTTTCCCAAAATGTATTTGTTTATGAGTAATATTCCGTCCACACATGGATGGGCCGCTCTGTATATATATATATATATATATATAATTAACAAGTAATTGTATATATATATATATATATATGATTCATAGTTATTGTCGAGAATAACCAGTTGAGTGGAAGGAAGTGATCACTTCCATCCTTTTGACCACGTTAGCAATATGAGGTTATTCCAATATGTGAAATAGAAAAGTTTTAGAAATTTTTAGAAATAAATTAATCAATAACGTTTTTCCAAATCCGTTTGCGAACGAGTCTTCCACTTAACTGATTATATATATATATATATATATATATATAGGTGAAAAATAAAGCTTCCTCCTTTAGCTGGGTACTTCGACAAGATTCAAGCAATGAGGACTCTTTATACCTTATTAGTCTCTAGCTTTCAATGGACTGCCATCATCAGGAGCTACAATAACATTAAGAAGAAATAGCAACTATTGTGCAAAATGATTTTAAATTACTTACAATAGTATGTGAGATTGTTGCTAAATGTTATTAAAGGCCAAGTTGAGGGAAACATTTAGAAACCTGGTGTAAGCTGGATCCATGGTACATTCGTTGAAATTAGTATAAACTACACAGCTGTATATATATATATATATATATATATATATATATATACATACATACAGAACATAACGAACAAGTTCGAAATGGCCTCCATTATTTTCTTTACACAAGCGACACCTAATAAAATTGTTCTTTTCCATAATTTTTATTTTTGCCTCAATTTTTTGACGCAGTTGGTTGATATTTGAATATTCAGATGTATTGTAGTACATGGGCACCATCGCACTGAAACCATGCGGCTTCGAACGTCCTCTAGCAGCTCATAAGCTGCTTTGTAGAAAAGCAAGATATGATAAATTAACGCCGAACTGACGTTGAAAGCTGTGTTGGCGAATAGCGTGTGGATTTTCCACGTTCCATGAATGGAAGTTGGATTCATCTGTCCATAAGATGCTGTCGAAAAAAGTTTCATCCTCTTCGCACCTTCTCAACATATTCTTACAAAATCCTCTTGTTTGGAAGCAATTCTTGTAATTTTTGTACATGGTAAGGATACATGTTTTCCCAGCGTTTTCCCAGTATTGTGGGCACTGAAGTATGGAAAATGTTTCTGCTTCGGGCAATGGCTCTGATGCTTATAGAGAGACGTCTCTCGGCTGCTTCTATTATATCTTCTATTTCTTCTGGGTCTAACCTCGGCGCTTCTAGCTGACGATGAGTGCCTAGTATGCGGCCCTCCATATACGCATTATGGACGGTAGTCGGGATATACCGCCGGTTGTGGTCCACCTCTTCTAACCACATACTCCCGATACATGCGAGCAGATGCTCGAGCATTTCCTAGGGTAGCACTATAATGCCAGACGTTAGATACAAATTCCGCGCAGGACCATTGCCTGACTTAGTAATTCCGGTCGGACCGAAGATTGAACGCTCCCGTACCTGGAATGCTGAGTTGAATGCCCAAGCTGATTTGGTTATTTGCGTAAAAAATCCGCCATTTTGATTTTACAAAATTTTAATACAAACATTATCATTCGCACTGCTAGGACAAATCTAACCGTACCTCATATGTCAAAATTCCGTCGATCCACTACCAACTTTACACCCTATATATACTTTTATACTTGGTATTCCCGCTGATTGACGCTTTTTATATTTTGTGGTAAAAATAACATTCTACTTGCGAAATAGTCTTTGATTCATATTGGCGATATACACTCATGTATTTTGCTATAAAATGCCTTTTGAAGTTACCTTGAATTTCAAATATCTGCATGAGACTATCATCATATCACCAAGAAGAGCCAAAACCTGCATTTTTGGCTATAACTTTTTTGCTTTTAATCGGATCTTTTTATCTGTTGTCTTGTAAGTACCTAAACATCTTATTTGTGGAGTTTATACGATCATGCCAACACATTGGATAGAATAAAAAAACGAGTTTTCTCATTCTTTGTTGTTGAATAAAAAGTTTTCATATAAAAATGGGTGTACCCATTTTATGCGCTCATGTTTTTTTATTATGTACCCCGTTAAACAACTTGCATCAATAAAACCACACATTTCAATTATTTCCTCTATGATTAGACTAAAAGCCATTTTGTTTGCAGCCAGGACCTGCTTTCCATTTGCAAAGAATTATGCTTAGAGGACAGTATCGATGAACTTATGCTCCAGTTGGGAGCCGACTCTCAGGGCAGAATATCCTACGACCAATTCTTGGAAAGAAGACTTGCTTTGAGGCCTGAGATAGATGCTTTGAAGAACAATAGCAGAGACAATATAAGTGAACATAGTCAAGGTAAGAATGTAATTTAAATCGAAAATAAATTCCAATATCTGACTATCAGTACAGTACTTGTAGTATGGGTGAAACAATATTATATTGGATAACTCAAAGGCATTCGATAAGGCGTCATGTGGACATTCTCAATTTTCCTACGTCTTGTAAGACTTTGGAAATCCTTACTTGAATTAGGACTATTTTGGACCAAAATTAACTATGCCCTGTGAACAACAAGAGCCAGTGTTCGTCAAGGTTAAGCTCTGTAATCTATTTATGATGTCGATAGCCACAACAACTGTGAATTTCGTCGTGGTCTGGCGATTCAGTCCACACCAGGGGATAATTCTTGAAAACGTCTGTTTGACGTTCATCAAATGAGGTCGAGAATGCATCTGTTTTCGACAGTATAACATGTCAATAGATTCTTCAATAGGATTAAATGTTTTATCATAAAGATAACGCCATCTTTAGAGGTGAGACTGGTGGGCAACGGCGAGACTTCCGTAGTTTCTGTACTGCAACTCTTTCATGAGTGTTAAGGAATATCGTTTCCCAAAAGGCAATAGAACCACGTTCACTTTCTATCAGCTATTCTACTTCATTTTCAAGAAAGGACCTCCAGACTGAAAGATCGTATAGAGGACATGAATTGGACAGATTCGTAATTGACATTCTAAAAAGCAGACAAACTGCTCCAAAATTAAAACCAAATATTGACCATTCATTTCGGTCAGCGTCGTCTTCTATTTTCAAAAACATGGTGTATGTTAATTTTTTTTCTTGAATTACCTTATTGTGCTTCTGATCCGTATTCCGAATTTCACAATGGTCCAGTCATAAAAAACATTATTTACAGGTAAACTAGATAGTTGGGAATGGGACTCTGGTGCTAGAGATATGTCTCCTGTTCCAAAGAATATTAAACATAGTGAAAAGTACACGGAGGAAGAGTTCAATGTAAGTAAACAAATTTTTCTTCAATCCTTACGCATTCAAATCTTAAGGCCGTCTGTCAAGATACAAAATTTTTGTTTATAAATTTGTACTAAAATTCGGAAAAAAATTCGTTACTGAATTTAATTCTCAATTTGTTTACCAATTAAATCCTGCCTGACACTTGAGGAAATTTTGCTCTAAAGTTCGTACGAAATCATGCTCAATTGGTAGAAAAAACTATAACTGTCAACCTCTAACTACCATTGATCACGTCAAAGTCATTATAACCGCACTTCCCTTTGCGGCCTGCTACTTTATTCCTTTATTACTTCAAACGTATAGAAAATTGGAGCGATCCGGTAATTCCCATATATTATATGCGACTGCGGCAGCAGCGATCTGCGTTGTAGCTGCCTACCTCACGAGAAAACAAAGTAGACGAAACCGTAAAATAATTTGGTGCCAAAAATGGATGAGGGAGAGGGACCAGGGCATGGGCACAGCTTAGATAACAATCAGCTATGAAACTCTCCTGTCACTGTCAAAAACGACCCCCATTTCAGCGGAGAATGTCGAATGTAAATTTCCCCAGTACAACGATGAAAAGGGTTTCAGCGTTCCTTACTGAGTAGTTCTAGGCGGTGTTGCCGCGTACCATGATAGCGGCCGCAGATACGCGTTGCAATCGTAAAAATTATTTTATTGCGATATGAGCTAATGAGCAGTTTGTGCGAACCAATAATAAAAAAGGATCATGTTTGTCCAAAAGGAAGCGAAAGAGTATTGATGATTATTTATGAAAATGCTTCAGATTAAATTTGTAATGGTGGAAGGCTATCACTATTTACAATAAACGGAAAAATATTTACTTTTCTTTGATATATTTAAGATTTAGGTAGAATTAATTAAGGAAACTAGACGAAAACAGCAGTAACATTTATTTAAAATGATGCTATTTTGGTAACTCAGAATTTGCCCTCACATTTCATTTTGACATCACATGCACATTTACTGAACGTTTTCCTTTTCACATAAATCATCATAGGAGGGGCTGGTCCTTGGAATATGATGACACTTTCGCAAATTTGACAATCAGTATATGTTGCCTAGCGGCACGAGGCGTACGTACCCTTAGGATCGTATCGTTAGTCGTTCCTACAATTGTAAGACGCCATTATGGCCTCCTTGATTTTCATAGCTTTCTGCTGTTCCGTGTTAGCGCTCTACATTGAGGTTATGTTAGAAATATCTATTTGCATCAAATTGTTCATGCTTTTGATTTATATCATCTGTTATATCAGCCTGACATTTCCGACATTTCAGAAAGAAAACATAGGCTCACAATATGAGAGCTAGACACTAGAAATCTAGAAATATCCCAGCATTTCTGAAGGTGAGAAAATACTATCAAAATTAAGGAGGCCATAAAGGCATCCTACAATAGTCTTTTCTATCCTTCAGAAAGTCTGGGATATTTCTAGAGTTCTACTATTCCGTGTCAGCGTCAGTACTCTCCTATTGTGAGGCTGTTTTCTTTTTGAATCGAAGGAAATTTCAGGCTATATAACATTATGATATAAATCAAAAGCTTGAACAATTTGATGCAAATGGATATTTGTAACATAACCTCAAAATAGAGCGCTGACACGGAACAGTAGAAAACTATAAAAATCAAGGAGGCCATATAGGCGTCCTACAATTGTAGGAACGACTGACGATACGGCCCTTGAGCACGCTTTTATATTGCATTTTTTGGTTAGCGCACAGTGTGGCGCCCAATGGACAAAATTACTCAAAAACATAATTTTTGACATTAGAATTCTGTTGCTTTTATTATACCATTGGATAGATAAATAGTCACTGCAACACGTAAGTATAGTACTTTAATCAAGTTGGCTGCGATTTACCTATTTTAGCAACTTAGACATGTCGAGACCTGTCAAGAAGGCGAAAAATCTCTCTGTTTTATTGCTCGGGAAAGATATAAATTTTGTGTCGAAATATTTAAATATTTTAACTTTTCCAATATGGCTGGTAATGAGGCTGGTAAGTTCATTATATTGATGTATAGATTTATTTAAAATCTAATTATAATTAGATAATTTTTTAAGTTAAAGTGACTATTACCGATTTTTTAATTTTTTTTAAACTTTTGACTTTGTTTAGAGTTTTACAAAAATCACCTCCCATCACCCTAAACATTTTTTTATTTATTGTTTATCTGTCCATAGTAAGTTTTGATAAAAAGTTTAAATCACGTCATGCCACGTCTAAGGGAGATATAATTTTTTTTAGGACATGGTGCTATTGTCAGAAATAGAGATTTGATTGATGTGTGAGATGAAATAGAAAACAGGTGGTTTATGAAAAGATATTATCTCTTATTGATATAACAGATGAACCTTCCAAACATCTTAAAAGTAATATGAAATGCAGCCAGTTGTTTGGGTTGAAAATGGCAAATAAATGGCAGAAAGTAGGACAATCTCGGAATCGACTTTTACAAAATCAGGTATATTGGTTAGACAAGATTGTATATAGAATAAATAATGATTCTGAAGAAAACACATCTTCGGATGAGGAACAAGAACCTCCTTGTCGCTCAGTTGGACGGCCACGGGTGCCATTTGAAGAGGCATCGAAGAAAACAAAACGAAGACGTGTAGCCGAACTAACCACAGACAGAGCTGCAAATGAACTTCAATTTGCTGTAAATGTCGTTTCTGGAAGCAATCACAGTGAGGTCTCGCCACAAATTTTCAGTTTTAGTACAGCTGAAGCTTTAGCCCTTATGGTAGATTTGGATATATCCGTAAGAAAGTATTTGCTACTTAGGTCTGTTATTAATGGTAAGGCCCAGAACTGCCTTCCTAGTTATAAAGAATTACAGAAAACAAAAAATGCTATCCTCCCTTCACAATTTATTATTACTGAAATTTCTGCAGAAGTTGATTTGCAAGAACTTCTACAGAAAAGTATCCTTGAAATAATAAATTTTGAAGAGAGAGATTGCCGGATTAAAGTGATATGCAAGTGGGGATTTGATGGCAGTTCTGGGCATAGCCAATATAAGCAGAAATTTTCTGATTTAGAAAACACCGACGAATTTCTGTTTCTTGTAGCAATGACGCCACTCAGATTGATTGATATGGAAACGAATAAGGTATTGTGGAAAAATGAGAGCCCTTCATCTACTTTATATTGTAGGCCGATCAAGTTTTTATTTAAAAAGGAAAATGCTGATTTAGTGCGGAATACGGAAATGGAAATAATAACAAAAATTGAAAATTTGATTCCTATTGAGATTAAAACAAAAGAAGGGCACTCTTATATAATTGAAGTTGATATGATGTTAACAATGTTGGACGGCAGTGTTGGAAACGTTCTATCAGAGACAAATTCAACTATGAAGTGCATCATTTGCGGAGCCACACCCAAGGACATGAACACGTTAGCAGGGATTAACCGTCCTCCTAACGTAGACAATTACCGGTTTGGTTTGTCAACTTTACACTGCTGGATTCGTTTTTTTGAATGCTTACTCCATATTGGATACCGCCTGCCAATTAAATCTTGGCAGGTTCGTGGGCCTGAAAACAAAGCAAACAAAAAACGAATCCAAGCAGAGTTCAGAGCCAAGCTGTCTCTAATAGTTGACAAACCAAAACCCGGGTATGGCTCCTCAAATGATCGCAATACGGCCAGAATTTTTTTCCACAATCCACAAACAAGTTCAGATATCACAGGGGTTGACAGGGTGACAGGGAATTAATCGAGAAATTTGCGATCATCTTAGGAGTGTTAGCTAGTCGTTGCGCTATTGTTATGGAAAAGTTTGCGTCATTGCTGGAAGAAGCAAGACATTTGTATATCCACCTTTATAAGTGGTACAACATGCCAAACACGGTACATAAGGTCCTTGTTCATGGATGTGAGATAATTGATGCATTTTGTTTGCCCATTGGAGAACTGTCGGAGGATGCGCTTGAGGCTCGCCATATTGAGGTTAGGAAACATCGATTATTTCACACCAGAAAATGTTCAAGAACAGATACGAATAAAGATCTCATGCGTGTTCTTTTACTTACTTCTGATCCTTTTATATCCTCAAAAAGAAAGGTGAGTTCAAAAAAATATAAGAAATGCAACGAGGCAGTTCAGAACTATTTAAAAAAGCAAGAAAAGTAATTGTTATTTTGTTAAATATATTTTTTAAATAAAAACCTAAATATCAATTTCAAATTATACAGAATTATTTTTTATTTGAATTATTCTTATTATTTTTTCAAATAGATAGACAAATTTAATAAATCATATTGCGCCCGCCACAAGTTGGCTACATTATCTTTTAAATCATTCGGTAAAGATCTTGAAAAATAAAAGCGTGACTTTTTTGCCTCTCTTAAGAATGCTATAATAATATCCTACCTTATCCCAATTTATTCGAGATCATCAACTTAATATTTTGACTTTTACAAAAAAAAAACGATTTATGCGAAATGCATCCCGCCTGCTCCCCCACCCCTTCTTATTATTTTAAATAATTTTTGTAATACTTTAGAAAGCTACTTAAATAAGTTATCGCCCTGCGTTTACAGAATTCAAATAGGACCACTAGTTTTTAATATATCGAATTTTGTCCCTGATCCCTATAAAGGAACACACTGTGCAGCGGTTCAAATCTTATGCTTATCCAACCATTTTTTCTTTTTTCGTGTCACTGTTGAATTATTTTATTGTGACCGATTTCAAAATCAACTCGTATGAATATTTATTAGTTTATAGCATTTGGTGTTTTGATTTTTTGGAGAAATTGGTGTAATTTGTCCCACAAATCCGCTTTTCAACAGTCCTATCCGGTATTGCCGCTTACCATGCTAGCGGCGACAGATATGCGTTCAATCGTAAATAATACTGCTGCTCTTGAGTGGTTTGTGTGAACCAATGATCAAAAAGGAGCATGTTTGTTTATTTATTTATGAAAAAATAACAAAATATATCTATGGCAACATATAACATAT